GAAGAGGGCATCTTCTCAGATCTGCGCAACCTGAAATCGGGCACAGATGCTTCCCTGGAAGAGCCCAAGAGCGCGTTCCTTGACTTCCTGTACAAGAACAACTGCATCCGAACACAGAAGAAGCAGAAGGTTTTCTACTGGTACAGCGTTCCCCACGACAGGCTTTTCCTCGATGCCCTCGAGCGTGATCTCAAGCGCGAGAAGATGGGCCAAGAAGCGACCACCATGGCTGTCAGCGAACCCGCGCTTTCTTTCGAATTTGATTCATCCCAGTCGCTCTTTGAGCAGCTCACCAAGGCGCAACAAACCAACTCGTCGTCGTTCAACAACAACGTTCAGCCATCGTACCAGAGCACATCGCCCGACATGCAAAGAATGGACTCCATGCCCCCACCAACCATGGTCCCAGTACAGCAATCCATGCCTCAGATGCAGCAGCCAATGCAGCAACCAATGCACCACGAGGACCCCATGGCCCAGTACCACCAGCAAATGTCAATGCCACCTTCGATGCAGAACCCCGTTGTCAAGAGCCGGGAGCAGCGCGAGATGAGCCAGTCTTTCCAGTACGACCGCAACGGCATTCCTTTGTCCCAAGTTCACCAGCGCCACAGCTCCATGCCTGCATACATGGAGTACTCTCCTGCGCCGTCCTTCGTCTCTTCTCACTACGAGGACTACAGCACTCGCGGCATGTCTTTCGAGCCATTGACTCCACCTCAACACCAGATTGGTCTCGGTGCTGAGCCCGCTTACATTGCGAATGAGGACACTGGTCTCTACAGCGCTATCCCAGACCTCCCAGTTCCCAACACATTCAACCCTCTGATGAACATGCCTCCATCGAACTTGATGGGATCTGGTTACCCCGGCGTTTCGCGGCCATTCGCCCCTGGCAATGTCTACTCCGTCATTGAAGGCTCGCCCACCTACAAGCAACGTAGGAGGCGTTCGTCTCTTTCCGCTGGAATCGCCGCCGCTGTCACCGCTTCCGGTGCAGGTGCTCACCAGGTCCACCGCCCAAGTGACCTGAGGCGATCAATGTCTAGCTCAGTCGTTCCCCTTGCTGAGGTCGATGAGTCAAACCACAACTCGCCCAACAGCACCAACGGTGCGAGCTACCCTCAGATGCCTGAGCAGAAGCCTCACATGGACATGTCCCGCCAGGGCACCCCACTCAACACTGTTGAGGAGAGCCCCGAGCCGCAGTCCGCTTCGCTGCATCATGACGATCTCAACACTCTGGTCAACGGCGAGCTGTTCGAGAGCCCCCTCCAGCACAGCGCGGTCGCTCGTACCGCTGGCGCAGGAGGACCAGTTTTCCGACGTGCCCGCAGTGCCACCATGATGGAAATCGGCCCTTACCCCCAAAAGTCGCACTCCTGCCCGATCCCCACCTGCGGTCGTCTCTTCAAGAGATTAGAACACCTCAAGAGGTAAGCGCTCGCAATTTCCCCATCCTGCTATTTTTGTATCACACGATCACTCGGGCCTCCACTTTATTTGTTGTTTTGCATAGACGCTGACCTGGCGCTTAGACACGTACGCACCCACACACAAGAACGACCATACGTTTGCCCGTTGTGCAACAAGGCCTTCTCGCGCTCAGACAACCTTGCCCAGTATGTACCCTGTTTACCGCCCAACCGAAAACCACATACTAATCAATTCATTAGACATCGTCGCACACACGAGCCCCGCGCTGACGGCGAGCCGCTGAGTGACTACCAAGAAGAAGACGACCTCGAGGGCGAGGAAGACCACCTCCACTCGCTCGGGGATGAGCTTTCGCCTGAGTCCGGCAACGAGTACCTCGGTCTGTCGCACTCCATCAACGACATTCCTGGCCCAGGACTTGGTATGACCATGGCGCCACCACAACACAGCCTCATGGCCGGCAGCCACTACTGAGCATACCCTGTCACGACGTCACACATGTGAAATGAGCATTTCGGCGCAATCAATGGCGCAGCCATCTAGAAGGATACCAGTCTGCTGTTTTCTTGTTCATCTTCTCGTTTTCGCGTTTAATCTCTTAGACCGGTGTCTGTTTTCCTCTGTTCGGCATACATTTACGATGTCCGCACTGCATTTGTTCTTGCTTTTTCTTTTCCAGCCTTCGGAGCTAGGGGATGGTGACACCACCGGATTTTGGCTTTTTGAGGGGTTGGCTGACGACACAACACTACGAACATGAGTACCCCTTCTTTTTTCTCGTCTCATCGTTTCATGTTTTTCCCTTTTCTTCTTTCTTTTCCCTTGCGCTCCGATCTGTTTGCTCGTTGTCGTCGTTGTCTAGCGCTCTGTTGGATATATCCTTGGCGGCATGGCTTGCTTTGTTGCAAAAGTTGTTTGATGGCGGACTGGGATACCATTTGAAGCGCACGCATACGCATATCGTCGATACATCTCTCTCGGATATGCAGGTAGCTTGGTGGTTTGCGTCTTCCTCTTCGTGAGGCGGCGTGTGTATAATATTGAAACTCAATGCAAAACGCATAACTGCACTTCTATGTCTTCACACGCTACTACCACCGTGACCTTTCGTATATTCGCTGAGATGACCAACACACATACTTCGCATTCAGTTCGCACACGCGTCACAGCATACTCTTAGAAACCATCACTCAAGATGAAACACCACCCCATCTCATCACGCATGCAAATCCCAAGAGACATACGATCAACACATCAAAAACATCATATCACAGCACATCATCATACCAACACCCCCCTCGCACACATCACGCACCCCAGCAACCCGTCATACCAACACTCCCCCCCAAGTCCTTCCGTCTCACGTGCCTCGTCCCCCTGCTCAACCTCCCATCTCACCTCGCCCCGCCGCAATCCTTACGTCACACCTGGCCAGCGCGCTTGTTTCAGAAGCGACTACGCCGCGGTACAATTACACATCACTTCTCTCGCGAGCACGGTCTAGATTTGAGAAGGGACTGGGGGTGCGGAAGTCGGTGCTGCGGGTCCGACTGTGCCTCAGTTGGCTTGACTTGACTGTGGCACGGTTGCGTGCGGGATTGCGGGATGGAGACCGCGGAGGAGTCGGGGGTCGGGGGTCGGAGGTAAGAAGGCGGTGGAGGTGGAGTAAGGGTGGAAGCCACATTGATCTACGTAGTGTGTGGACTTGCTGGTTCGAGGGAACGGTGTCTGTGCGTGGAGGGTGAAGGGTGGGATGGATGGGTGGGTATGGGAATCTAGGTGGTAGGCTTTTGGACGGTGGACACGTGGAGTGTGGGGCTGTGTGTATAGTCTTTTTGTAAATGCAGTGCGAGGCGAGCGTTGTAGTGGGTTAGCTTTTCGAGGATCAGTAGAAGGCGAGCGTTGTAGATCATGAGGCTGTGGATGGGTGGAGTTGGGGGTCATGGTGGTGTGAGCGGTTGGCTTGTCGATGCCGGCTTGAAGGCTTCGGGGGCTACGGTAGCGAGATCAATTGCCATTCAGCCACTTCGGGGTCCTTTTGGCCATGTCCTTTGATTGCTATCACTAATGCATACTTGCTACTTGGGGGTGGTAATATGGCATTTGGAATTGGGAAAATGTGAAGTTCACATGGCACGGAGTGTCCAGTGGCCGTTGCCTTTGTGGGTTGGAGGGGTGGGAAATGGTACTCTTCGCCAATCGGCGATCTGAAGTTGTTAATTCTCACGGTTGGTAGGTACCTTACGCCAAAAAGCCGTCATGGGAGCACCCGTTCGGAGGGCTGCCGATTGGTACCTCTCGCTTATGGCTTGAACTATGTGCCAGCATATCGTATGATTACGTGGTATGTGGTGGGAAGAAAAAAATCAGGGTGCATGTGTAGCTTCGCGCTAGAAAGCTCGAAGAAGTATCCCTGAGCCTGCTCGAGCATGTGCTTTTTACGGGTGCGTCTCGCCATGTGTAGGCATGCTTTGCGGTACGCTTACGGGAGCGGCGTGTCCATGCCCCCATGTTTTCTCTTTCCGGGACTTTGTGTCGCCGGCTGTAGGGGTGCAATGTGTGTGCGTTCAGGAGAATTACGCGCGGTCTGTGAGTGGTTGTGTGGGAGATGATGTTGTGGCTGTAGCTTGCCGTCGCCGAAGGCAGGGTAATTTGCTTGTAGTCTTTCTTTTTAACGTAGCGATGTTACCTCGAGTCAGAGAATACACATGCGGCTGTTTCCTGAGTAGCTCCTCTGCCTACTTTCGGGGCGTCAAGTAGCCGACGCATCGTCCGTGTTCAAGGGTGGCGGAAAGTCAGTAGGTCGCCACAAGAGGACGCGCCTAGCTCGCGGTGCTTTGGCCGGACCGGAAACATCAAGTTAACGGTGTAATGTTGGAGTTGGTCTGAAGTGAAGACAGTATCGTGATAGTGGTCGCTCCGTGGTTGCGTGCTGTGGAAGATGCGCTAACGCGAAAATCGTTAGCGCATGCTGCGTGCCCAGGTGTTCCACCGCTTTTTCCATTCTATCGCGCAGGTACGCTCCGCAACAGTGAACGCCATCGGCCTCCATCGCAGTTTGGAGTCCGAATTATCCTGGGACATACATACCCGCAGTGCCTGACTGACATGGCAAGAGAGTCGGTCTCATCCCCGGCCTCCCGGTCGAATCGGAAAAAGCCAGTCTTACTGTACGTCTCTACTTCGGACGAAGGAACCTCTCATCACGAGGTGTATACATGAAACTCTTTCAACGCTGCCAGCTCTTGCGATTGATCTTGGACTAAATTTAATGACAAGATGCCGGGACCAGACCTTCGTCACGATCAACATCGATGATCATGAAAATGAGGGGAAGCAGACATTCATGCTACACAGGGGCTTACTATGCTCTCAATCGCCTTACTTTGCTGCAGCGTTTAAGAAGCATTTTACCGAGGCTGTAGACAGATCCATCCATCTTCCGGATGTATGTGGTGCGACCATGAGGCTATTTCAGTTCTGGCTATATGGACGATCCACTGGATGGCCAGCAGATTACTACACCGAGAACATAGACGCACCAAGCAGTGACTCGGCGAAAGATGGGAAAGGTAAATCAGCTTGACATCCGAACTCTGCCGATATGATCAGGTGAAATTGACAACTACATAGCCGACGCCAAACCTATAGCGCCTGTGTCCGCGCCACCAGAAGATAGCTTTAAAGCTGCCGACTGGATAGCAACAGAAGGTGAGATGATTCGTCCAACAGATCCAATAGAAGCTAATTTGACAAGAGTTTCGATTCCAGGAGCAACCCAGGTATCTGAGAACCCTCACGAGGCTGTACATTTTTGCCGACTTCTATAACACACCACAGTTGCGAACTGATGTGATGACATTGATCATCGAGCTTGTAACCCACAACATATACAATCACGGTCGCAAAGAAACGTGGTCATGGGACATCATCGACAACCTATACCTTTACCTACCATCTACTTCTCCCTTACGCAAGTACGCTGTCGCGTTCTACGCGGTATTTGGCCCATGGATAAGCAAGGATGAGTGGGAAGATTATCCCAAGTCTTTTATGATCGATCTCCTCACGGTCACCGTGCCTCTCCGGGGTACTTCAAGCAAACAAAAGCGCAAGGAAGACCTTTGTGACCCTTGCAACTTCCATGAGCACGGGGGTGACAAGAAGATGATTGCTGCCTGCAAATCATCACGGCAGCAATCAGGCGGGTGGCTCGCTGGATTTTTGCGTGCATGCATGAGCGAAGTTTACGATTACGACGATGCGAGATTATTGGCAAAGTCTAATATGAAGAAGGGTGACAGTACCAAGCTTAAGGCTGCTGTACCGGAGGAGAAAGATGATACGACTGTGCCATCTTCTGCTGGCGTTAAGATGGCGAATGAGAAGGTTGAAGTTGATGACATCTCACGAGGTGTGGATGATAGTTCTGATACTGGCTTGCTCAACGGTGGTCAAAATGAGGCTATCTCGGATCCAGCCGTCAACCCGTCGCCATAGGTCTGCCATTATAGGAAGTCGAGAACCCGACAAATCCATGTGAGGGTGTTGACACCAGTCTGAACGACTACCGAGCTGCAACGTATTGGCCTTCTGTTCATGATTGATACCAGATAGATATCGCATGGAGATACACATGTAGCAATAGGGCCGAAGACGCGTCGAAGTCGCGCTAGTCTCAAATAGTCGCACGCGTCAAGCTTCAACACTTCCCGAGGTGCCCCGAAATCTCTGTTCAGCATGTAACATCAGCACCTGTACCCAAACTATCCCTTCAGTCACAGCTCAATTCCCATATCTCTCACCAAAATTCGCGAGCGAGACTGGATCAATTCGCTGGCCCTATTCAAAGTCACCATAATAACCATGGAAAATGCTGCCAAGAGACCAGCCGAAGCCCAACTGACCAGCCATGAGTTCAAACGTCCGACTTTCTCGTGAGTCTCATCAAATCCAGCAAGCTCTAACCCGACTCATAACTATTGACCTCTCGATTGGTCAACCAAACTGACCCGTACCGATAGCACGATAAGCCAAGCGCACGTCACTGTTCGCCTTGATCTTGATGACATTGTCGTCACAGTTCACAAAGATATCGCATGTTTCTACTCAGGATATTTTCGCAAAGCATTTGGAGGTCCCCTCCTCGAAACAGAGGTGTGGTCAATAAGTTTACCTGATACCAGGGCAGACATATTCCGCCTGTACCAGGATTGGCTATACGCGCAAGCCACACGGCATGAGAACTCTACCCCGATCGACTCTGTGGATAATGCGAGGTATAGAAAGCCTAACAGCAACCCTGAATGGCTGTTTCCAAGAAGTACATTACTGCGCTACTTGCTGCTGCCCTTTACATGCTAATAGCATCACAGATTACCGCCAGGAAACAGCAATTTCAGCTTTCTACGGCGACGTATTCCTCCGCTTGTATGTTTTTGCAGAAGTTTACGACGTGCCGCTGTTGAGGCAGGACATTATGACCTTGATGGTTGACCTTGAAAGACCCACGGGTATTCTGTGTCAGAAGATCGACAGAGACGCCTTGGACAAATCTCTGCTCTCGAATTCGCCGTTCCGAATCTTCTTGCTAAAGTGGATGGCCTTCGTCTTCGTCGGTTATCCGTTGAACACCACGACTGCAGCAGACATCAGAAAATGCTTCTCTCATGATTGGCTTGCCGAAGTGATGTGGATTATAGCCTCCCAACCAAAAGATCCACATCTACGTGAGCGTTTGTACGACGATGTAAAGGATAGTTGCGCATTTCACGAGCACCAGAACGATTGGGAGAAGATTCTGTGTCGACGACATCAAGCCTTTGACACCCAGTTCTACACCAACTTTCTGCGCAATATATTCAATCTCGTATCCGATCTCGATAAAGAATACGGAAGTCCGGAAACAAAGAAAAAGAGAGAAAAGGCGAAAGCCCAGGAACAGATCAGGGTGAAGCTAGAAGAGGACACACAATCCTCGGGGTTTGAAAGCGCCGAGGAAATTTTGGATGAAGAAGAGTGAACCCTGGATGTTCCTCTGACCAAGCACGGACTCAAGCTTCGTTGGTAGCCTACCGTCGGCCCACGCAATCCGCTCTACCACTCTGCAACACCCCTTCGCGGATATCTTCCACGTACTATCTGTTGGAAATTAGTAGCCTATATCGATACCCATCACTTCAAAATACATGGCGACATTCGCCCCTCCAGCCCGCCGTGGCGACTTCCTCTACTCATCCGTCCTCTACGCAGACCCTGGTAACGGAAACCACCACGGACGCGCGAGTGTCGCCGAACTTGCGGCTCTCCTCCGCCCGGAAGCCCCGAACCTCTATAGCAAGGGTCGCAAGCCTGAAGTCGCGACACCAGCGAAAGACCAGGTGTGGCATTTCTACTCCGCCCAACTCATTCACTATGGACTACCGGTCACCAAGGACAAGAATGCGGCGAAAGTGCGACTTCTGAATGCTATGAACCAGTTCAAACTCGAGGTACCGGCGTGGGTTTTGAAGGTCGAGAGCGAACTGAAGGCTGGATGGGAAGCGGAGAACCGGAAGTTGAAGAAGAGCGGTAGTGCAGTGACCAAGAAGGCTTCCAAACCGAGTGTCGCTCGCGAGTCAGGTCTTGGAAGCTCTCAGGGCGTAAATGGTGGTGTCAACGTCACTGGTAGGCTTAAAGACCCCTGTTTTTTGACGCTGTTAATCCTGTCTCGTAGTCAATTTGGCCTTAGGAGGAGTGTCGCTTAGCCAGTATATGGATGCGCAGCAGGCGAGCAACAACACCCCAAGGAAGCCAACACCAGCCAAACGCAAGCGCGCTGGTAGCAACGTCCCTAGCCCGGTAGCGACACCACACAAAGTTGCGAGAGTCAAGAAAGAGCCAGCGCCAAAGAAAGCACCCATCAAGAAGGAGCCTACCGCCAAGCGATCTGTTCCCAACATCAAGCAAGAGAGCCGCGTCTCCGCGCCACCATCAACCCCTTCACGGTCCCGCATCAAGCAAGAGCAGTACCAGCCCAGCCCCGACCGAATGTACCCATCGCCCTACATCAAGTCCGACCCTTACCCAAACTACTACCAACCCAGGCCCTCCCTCCTCCTCAGCGGTACCTACTCCATCTCCTGCGAAACCGCCAGCTCCACCTTCAACGACTACAACCTCGACCTCACACTCGCTCGCGACCCCTCCCACGGTATCTGGTGGGCGACGTTCCGCTGGGGCGCCTGGGACGGAATCATCCAGATGAACCCCGGCCCCGGCGACTCTGATAGTTTAGGCCAACCCTGTTCGCTTGGCTGGCGTCTTCGCGATCTGGAGACTGGCCAGTTGACGTTTGGTCGCAAGTGTACGGGTTATATGACGTTCTCTGGTGATGGGTCGATGGAGGGGTGTTTGTATGAGGTGCCGGGTGTTGGGTCGTTGGAGTTTGAGGGTATGAGGGTTTCTGGAGGGAGCTTGGAGGATGATCTTAAGGGGGAGTGGGATGGCTTTGTTGCGGAGGCGTATCGGCGTTGAGGCTTACGTGGACCTAGCAGAGGAGTTCGTATAGCTGGTTCAGTATAGCTTTGCTGCCCGCTTCCTGTTTAGCAAAAGAGGCTGACGTGTGATCGAAGCCATGTTTGGCAGATACACCAATGCACCTGCAGAAGAGTCTCACACGCGTAGAAAGCTTTACTTCACCAGCATCAAGCCCATGAGAACATTCAAGTCCATTCAGAACATTTCGCAATTAGCTCGACAGCTACGTATAATACACTACAAGTTTCTACAAGAAAGGTCCAAAAGCCATCTCTTTCTGCTCTTCCAAACCACTCGCTCTGGTATAACAAAAACTAAACAGGCAGGACAAGCACCACCCAACGCCAAAGGCAAGACTACCGCGCGGCATGACTGTCATCCTTTCTCTTAAACATGAACAAGTAAGGCGTCAAGAAACATGACGCCGAGAACGCTGAAGCTATCTACTGAGACACAAAAGAAATCATATGCGTAGAGCATGTAATATCCGAAACATCAATCGAGCTGACCCCCTAGCGTTGCCATGGGCCACGGTCCTGCGGATGCCTTACTCCGCTCGTCCAGTCCATAGGCCCTGTAGGTGGCCGAGGGTCGTGGATTGATCCTGGCCCTGAACTGGGCTGTGGTGGCGGTGGACCCCTCATATCTTGTCTTCCTCGCATGATGCTGTCCCTGTAGTGCGCATCTCGTGCATCTCGTTCGCGCATCTCGCGTTCCCTTGAGTTTTGTTCAGCTTCTCTTCGCATATGCTCTTCTCGATTCATCGCTGCCTGGTGTTGAGCTTGAGCTTGGGCTTGCTCCTCGCGGATACGGTCCGTCATGCTGCGATCACGAGGATTTCGCATGAAGTGATGTTGTGGTTCCTCGGGAGGGCGCTGACCATAAAGAGAGTGGTTTGCTACTCCGAGAGACGAGTGCGGAGGATGCTGCAAAGGTGGAGGCTGGCCGTGCTCCGGCCTAGAAAGCGGAGTCTGTGAGCGTTGCGAGAGGTATCCCCGATCTTGGGGTTGGTATCGCAGATCTTCGTGCATTGGAGGACCTGGCGCACGTAGCGTGGGGTTGGAAAGCTGTTCACGTAGATAATCGGCCCTTTGAGACAACTCACGGCTGGTGTCGCGATCCGAGTGACGAGGATCAAAATCGTGGGCCTCACGAGGATCGCGAGGACGATAAGGCTCCGTCAGTCTACTCAACCCTTGGAAAGGGTGGGCTGGATGCTCGTTGGGCGTTTGTGGGTTCGAGTACGATAGGTTTGCGTTTGAGGCCTGCGAATGGTCGTTGCGTCCGGATGAGTCCCTCTGCTGCTGCTGTGCTATGTGGCTTGTCGACAGGTGCGGGCTGGGCCGCATCCCCATAGGCCCAGGTGGCGGGACGCCACTGCCCGGCGGATCAACTTGGGCGTATGGGTTTGGCTGCAGGATCTGCGATGATGCACTCAGTGCTTGCGCATGCTGTGCTGCAGTGGTGCTTGGAACACCATGTCGAGGCAACGACCCAGGCGGCCCACTCACGCTTGACGTGCGCGAATGCGGATTTGGAGAGTTGTTGAAGCCGGCAAGAGGTGGCGGTGTCGGATTTTGACGTGGAGTGTTATGCTGGGAAAAGACAGAACGATGATTGCTAAACATCCTATCGTTGACATTGGGCGGCTGAGGCAGGCCGGTCGGTGTTGAAGAAAGCGACGCGATTTGTGGAGTCTGAGACAATCCTCGGTGGAACGGCTGCTGGGCTTGCCAAGTATCGCGCAGACTTGGCCTACTTACTGATGGCTTGTCCTCAGTCAAGTCGATTGGCCTGTTTGATGTTGCGTTTGCAAGTGAAGACTGCTGAGCATACGAGGCTGGACGGGTATACGGAGATTGAGCAGCCAAAGAATCTTCGTAGAGCGGACGTCTGGACGATGACGAGTAGCTTTGCGTCGTGGGAGGAGGAGGCGCGATTGGTGCTGATTGCAGAGGTGTAGAGGTATGCGATGGCGGACCTTGTTCGCTTGGCTTCTTACGTCTGGGCTCCTCAGGATCGGTGTCATTCAGCAAGGACATCAAGTTAGACTTGCGTGGTTCGACAGCTGGCTTTGTTACTGCAGGTGGAGGGGTGTTTTGCATAGGTGGGGGGCCGCGCTGAGGATGCTGTAATTGAGTGTGAAGCATCGCTTGGGGTTGAGCTGGGGGAAGGCTAACTGGAGGAGGATTCCTAGGTTCTTCTTTGACAGGCGGTGTAAGAATGGTCGACCGAGGTGGCAGCTGTTGCGCACTGTGGCTACTACTATGACTCGGAGCATACACGTCGGCCACCGTTTGGCTGAGCGATTGCGCTTGCGATGAGTGTCGAGAGTGCGAGAACGGCAAGGGACGATGTTCTGGTGATCTCATCCCAGAGTTCGAACGTACTGGCGGCATGATTGGCGGTGCACCACCGGGAGCAAAAGGTCTATGCTGTGACATCTCCTGTGAGATGCGACGTGTGTGTTCATGGAACCGGCGCTGAGCCTCCTGCTCCTGCTGAACTTCAGGTCTACCCGCAACGTGTCGCTCCTGAAAGTCAAGTCCACGATAGAGAGGCGACTGGTGTTGCTCTTGAACGCGAGGCTGTGGAGGCGCATGTTGTTGCAATGGCCGGTGTGCCTGGTGGTTGCCTGCAGGCTGTGAAGGTGGCCGGGACTCGAAACGTGGAGGTAGGTCTTCGGAAAAGTATCCAGCTCGTGGTCCTTGCGGCTGCGACTTATGCTGGGACATGGAGTGTTGGTGATGATGCTGTGGTGGCGCACGCTGGGGGGGAGCGGGCGGCGACTGCTGTGGTGGTATCGAGGGTACAGACGCCAGGCTAGTCTCTGGTAGGGCAGAATATCCGGTCGGAGGCACCATGGGCTTGCTCTGCACAGGTGCTTGGGCGATAGTGGAGAATCTCGAAGAAGGAGTTGAATGCGGAGGAGATAATTTGGGGTGCACAAGCGGGTTCGGAGGCGGAGACCCATGTTCAGGCGTAGGTGCGATGGGGCGGATAGGTCCCGCTTGTGTGCTCTCGTATCGTCTCTTAGGTGCTGGAGTCGGTGTTGGCGGTGGGCCTAGATCATCACCTCGTTCCCTTCGAGCATCTGCCTCTTTTGCTGTCTGCTCCAAGTCTAGTTTGCCACTTTCGACAAGACGCAGATACTGGTTCTTGATCATAGTGTGCGTCTTGGTGCCCATATGGTTCGCAATTGCAATCCAGTCCGTGCCAAAGTGTGCAACATTCTTATCGAAGTCTTGTAACTCGGAGACGGACCAGTAGCTAGATGGGCCAGGTCTTGCACCAGCCTGTGTCTTCGGTCGATCCATAAGACTACCAGGCAGGCCAGAAAGCTGCTGCAAATCACCGGCCAGCATCATCTGATCCTCCATAGGGATAAGTGGCATGGGTATTGGCATATCATTCATGGGCCGCTTGCCAAGGTCGTCCTCCATCTTGACTCCCATGTTCTTGTCCTTACGATCGACCTTGACAGGTGAGCCTATAGGAACGGCCGCAAGTGGCGTATTCTTCGCCTTCCGGCCAACCTTGTCCTTCGCCGGTTTTCCACGCCGCATGGCCTTTTCTTGCGTGTCGTCGGCGTCGGTTTGCCTGCGTGCTCGGCCTGGTATGGGTATTCCTGTGATCGGGTCGAACTCAGTTTCGGTTGGGCCAAATTTGGGTGCCGCATGGCGTCGAGGTCGCCCAGTCTCAGTGACTGGCAAGGGCAAACCGTCCTCTCCTGGTCCTTCGGGTCGGTCCATGTTGGCGATAGCTCCACGACCACGACCGACAGCTCCACCACGCTTCCTAGGAGCCCGAGCTTTGCGGAGTTTACCCTTGTATTCTCGGCCCCATTTGGTAGCATAGTAATGATTGATACAATCCTTGTAGGTGCGTTCGGTTCCAACTTCTTTGTAAAGAACTTCGGCCAGCTTACCCCACTTCTTTGCGTATTGATCCTTGTAGTTATGTACCATGACCCTGTGTTCCTCGGGGGTGAAGTCATCCTCTGGCGGCTCATAGTGAAACACAAAGATTCCTTGACCGGGTTCGCGTTGGAAATTAGTGTCGATGAATCTTCTGCGCTGAGCCTCTGCCTCGGTAAGTTCCAAGGGTAGATCGGCCTCCTTCTCCGGATCAGCCATGGCTTTGCGTGGCTCTTTGTCTTTCTTCCCTAGCTTTTCCTCTTCAGCAGTCTTCAAAGACTCTTTGATGACAGCTTCCAGATCAAGCTCAGTAGCCCATCGACTCGCATGGCTCCTCCGGCCTGTAGGAGCGAGCGACCCATCCAGAATCCCTGTCATCGCAGCGTTTTGTACATCGGGAGTGACAGCCTTCAGTGTTGGTTCGGCTGACGGCTGTCTATCCTGATCGTCTTGATCGCGCTCTTCGTCCAGGGGACGGATGGACACACGCCACGCTCTATACGCAGCTGCGTATCGTTCGAGAATCTGATCAGTGTTAAGCTCAGGCTCGATGCTCTTGCGTAATTTGCTTCGAATGGCGTTCATGATATCGTCAGATAGGTTTGGTCGATCTTGCCCAATGTCCGATAAAGGCGTTGGCGGGCCTGAGCCTAGATAGGGCAACAAACTGAGGTCGGGTAAGGTTTCCTGCTCTGCAGAGGTCTCACGTCGTAGGCGAAGTGCCATCGTTGCGGGTGCAGCCGACCTCTCTTCAGTCTCCTCTTTGTCTTCCATCTCGACATCCTCGGACTCTTCCGCCTTAGGTGTCGGTAGATCTGCCGTGATACTCTCTGGAGCGGGTTGAGTGGTGGTTGGTTCCACATGACGTGCTTGCACAGGTGAAAGATGTGACTCTTCCTGCTCCTGGGGAAAGGGTGTGCTTGTCTCTTCGACGGACACCACATCTGGCTGTGTCTGAGGAAGATGCTCGACATTGAGGCATGACAGCAGAACAATCTCCTGCAAGGGAGTTGTAGCGCGTAAATGCGGAGCACTCAGATCAACCCGTTTGGCCTCTAGACGTGCTCGCTCTCGGTTGTATTTCGCCTCAGACTCAGCGAAGTCATCCTCGTCAAGATCAAGATCATCGTCAGAGTCTTGCAGAGCTTCCGGGGCGGACGACGCAGCCGACATGGGTGGCTTGGCCATTCGAGGTGACGCTTCCGCCATGACGACATCAGAGTGTCGCCTAGTCTCGATCGGAGTAGGTTTAGGTGAGGGCACCACAGGACGCTCTGCGGATACCGCACGTTCTCTCGGTCTTTCGATTTCGGCTTGAATGCGTGAAAATGACGGTGACACTGATTTCGCTTGCGAATTACGCTGGATCTGTGCAGCAGAGACGCTATGCTCGAGTCGAGGGGCTTTGGGGGCAGTACCGAACGGTCGTTCACGATCCTCAGCCGGGAATTCGCGCTTGGTTGGCACCGACGGTCGGCTCGAATTGAATCCAGGCCGTACCCATTGCATGCTCTTAGGACCGCCGCTCAACGGGCCTCTAGCGGGAGGAAAGCCAGGCCTGTCCGATTGCGGATAGGATGAAAGTGGCCTAGGAGCCATCGGAGTGCGGTCAGCTTTGGGGCCCGTGGGTATGTTCGCTGGTAAGCTTTGCGGAGATGTGTTGATCGCAGAGCCTCCTCCGCCACCATTACGCGGACCAAACCCTGAAGGATTCGCACTGGGAGATGCATCTCGAGGAGTGTATTGTGGTAGAGTTGCCCTGGAGAACGATGGGGATACGTTGACTCGTGCCGCTTGAGGAGCTGTAGGTGGTGCACGCGGTCGTGCAGCAGGGCCTTGTGGAGGCGACTTCGCAGCACCTGATGGCGCAGTAGGAGCGGTTAGTGGAGCTGACGGTGCCATGGTGGGAACTTTAGGGGGCGCAGCCATTTGGGGCGAGATCGGGACCTTGGCAGTTACATTGTCTGAGCCTGGTACATCAGTGGCCTGAGACGGAACAACAGTAGGAGGAATAGAGGGTGGTTCCATACGTGTTGGAGCCGGATGGGATACTCTGCTCTCTTGCTTTGGTACCTCTCCAAGCAGCGGACGATCCGGCGCCCGATCAGCTTTTGGCCCAGTGGGTGGTAGTGTCGAGAGCCCTGGGGGAATGGTTGCCTTTGGTGCAGTTGGGATTACTGCCGCCTTCACAGGAGTAACAGGCGCAGCAGGTGTGGCAGGACCGACAGAGGTGTTAGTAATAGAAGCAGGTGTAGGCTGAGCAGGCTTCGGTGGTGCTACTGTCGCAGCGCTTGGCTTGTTGTCAGAGATGGGCGCCCTCCAAACATTGGACCCACCGAAGGCTGGAATAGAAGCAGGAGGCGATGAAGCACGCGGAGCGTACCTCTCCCTGGACGCTTCAGCGCGGCTGGCCAGGAGAGCCTCGTCTTTTCCTGGCTCCCGCCGAGGATCCTTGGCAGAGAGAGGATCGATAGCAACAGAAGATCGTCTTGAGTAAGTATCTCCCTGAGGCCCTAGCCTGTCGGACGGAGAGGCATGGTGAGATGAGTGCGGGGTTGGTCCCGTAGGCGTACCAGGTAGATGCCTCAGATCAGAAGGGCCCGGACCTCGGTGTGTATCCAACGCCCGTAGTCCTGGTTTCGCAGCACCTGCTGGGCCGATGTAGGAGTCGTACTCTCTGGGGAACCTTCGATCATCACGTTCTCTCCTGTCGAAATCGCGATCTTCCCGAATGTCTCGCTCCTGGCGCCTTGGGGGTGTCCGACTCCGCGGCCGATATGTCCGTTCCGGAATGCGATCACGTGAGTCGTGGTGTCGTTCCCGGTCATCGTTGTGGAAATTTCGACCGCGCCCAGAAAATCCGCCTCGTCCGCGGCCAATGCCTCCGCCACGATACGATGAAGCTGTACCGGGGAGTGGGGGGTCAGAGTAGGTGGAACCAGCTGAAGGGGGACCGTCTCGTGAGTTTCGTCGTGCGCGATTGACATCCAGATCTCGCGGTACAAAGTCCCTCTGATCGCGTGGATCTCTCGAGTCCCGAATAGGTGAGCGCCTTGGTGGGGTCGGCCGTCGCTCGCGTCGATCAAAGTCGCGGTCGCGGTCCCGGTCTGCCCTCCAGGAATTTTGGGAGTTGTGCGGAAACCCAGGACCGCTGCTTAATGGTGGTGCAGTACGTAGTGGTGTAGCTTCACCTCGGCCAGCAAACCCTCGGCCTCTATCATCGCGTGGCGCTGCAGATGCACTTGATGGTGGACCCACTGGCTGGCCACGTGGCGCATCGGAAAGAGATTTTGGACCTTTCGGAACTTCTCTTGAGAAGCCGCCGGGCTCTGCATTTGGTCTAAAGGTTTCGTTACCCCTTGGGGGGTAACCGCTACTAAAGTTGGATGGTCTTCGATCTCGATCCCGGTAGGGCGGCGATCTGTCGCGGGGATATCTGCCGTTCTCCGGATACCGTGAAGCAGACATGTTGGTGGTTGCTTACTGTACAAAGAACTTGCGACTGCGGCATGGGCACAGGTAAAGGTCGTATGTCAAAGCGGATTGGAAATCTCGGTCGTAAGCGCAGGCCCGGATCGCGTGCAGTGGTCGTAGCAAACGGATGGTGCAGAGAAGAAAAAGGGTTCCTTTGATGTACCGTCGTGCGTAATCTCAAGAGTGATGGCGCGATTGGCCGGCGACTTGTTGTGTCCCAGGTTGACGTCAACCACAGGGTGTCAGTCGAGGTTCGTGTTTGCAAGCCGTGGTAGACGAGGCGCTAGCGGCAAGGCCCGTGCTTCGAGACCAGGGAATTAGGGAAAGCGCCAAACCCCGATCCGTGGTGGAACAGGTGCAGCTGCTCGGCGCCGGGAGCTGAGATTCGATCTGCTATTGTCGCCTTTACGCCCAAAACGCCCGTTTCGTGCCGTAAACGCGTCAAACTGGGCCTGGAGGTCAGGCAACGTCGTCTGGAGATACTGGAGAGAGTGAGGAACGCGCAGCGGTCAACAAAGGCAGTCTGGCGCCGTGTTGAAGATGCTCTGCAGCCCGTTGACGTGGCGCTGGGTCTCTTTGTGAGGGAGGCCTGGGCACGTGAGGCAGCACCTTGTCGATGCTGGGAACGAAGAATGGAGTGGCTCTTTAGCCAGGCTGTGCGCCGCTGGGCCGTGGCAGCATAGTGTCGTGGAGAGGGTCGTTGTCGCAAGGTAGGTGTGATGATGAGAAAGGGAACGTCGAGGAGACCAGAACACGAACGAAGCACTGACACACCCAGCCATGACGGATGCCTGCAAGTCAAAATGGACGCCCCGGCTGGCCTGCAACGGCCTAGCGAGGGGAATCCATCCAGACATGACAGCCGGCCTCTGATTGGTCCGCAGTTGGACATTTCGATTATCTGCAGGGGTGGGCAGCCGCTGGTTTTGCTTCAGATTCCAGCCCTGGCTCCACTAGGGGATTTGGTGACGATCCCAGCCCGGGCCCTTCACCAACACGGACAGACACCGCTGCACGGCAGATGCTGGACACGATGCACTCCTGGAGGACCGGCGGGAGTATTGTGCGATGATGCGACACCGTGACCCTCCCACACGTTGATGACAAAAGGGCTGGCAGTCTCCTTAGCTGGATCGACCCGAGAACTAGCCTCACACGAGCAGGGATTAGACTGCCATGCCTTAGCTCCAATCCACGGGTGCCCAGGTGTGGGGGCTTCTTTTTCCTCAAAATCTGCCGCCGCACCGACTCACAAATAGCACAGTACGAGAGCTGCAACCGTCCAGAGTACGCCGAGCAGCCCGACGACGCGCCAGAACATCGCGACAGCGCCGCTGCAGCGACTGCCCACCCGAGATTGCCCACCGCCATGGCTAGCAACTCTTCGGCCCCTACCGGCGCCACTGATGCAGTCTTGAAGCCATCCGAGCCCGTGCCTGAGGGTGCGCAAGAGGTGCAGGGCATCGACTTCAACCAGTATGCGTCGCGCAGCATCACCGTCGAGGAGCTGGTGGGCGGCTACGCCAACATGGGCTTTCAGGCGACTTCGGTGGGAGAGGCTGTACGCATCATCAACGACATGGTGAGTTGCTTCTGCCCGGAATATCCGAATGCGCGTGCTGCGCCGCTGCGGCGTGTCAGCGTCAAGTGCGGAGACAGCACTTGCGTATGCCGGGAATCTCCCGTCCGTGCGCAGTCCCGAAAGACGAAACATTTAGCCTGATTTGGCGACGCGACACCACCGCATCGAGAAGCTTGGGTTCGCTGCTAACAGATAACAGCGCGCATGGAGAGACCCTGAGACCAAGGAGCCCACGACGATATTCCTTGGGTACACGTCAAATCTGATATCTTCGGGGCTGCGCGAGACGCTGCGGTACCTGGTCCAGCACAAACACGTTTCTGCCATCGTGACGACCGCAGGCGGCGTCGAAGAGGACTTCATCAAATGCCTCGCGCCGACATACCTCGGCGCTTTCTCCACTCCTGGCGCCGGACTGCGCCAAAAGGGCATGAACCGCATCGGCAATCTTGTCGTGCCTAACAGCAACTACTGCGCGTTCGAGGACTGGGTAGTGCCGATCCTGGACAAGATGCTGGAGGAGCAGGAAGCGAGTAAGAAAACGGACGAGCCATTGTACTGGACGCCTAGCAAGGTCATCCACCGTCTAGGCAAGGAAATTAACGACGAGCGATCGGTCTACTACTGGGCGTGGAAAAACGACATCCCCGTCTTCTGCCCAGCGCTGACAGACGGGAGCCTGGGCGACATGCTGTACTTTCACACATTCAAGTCATCACCAGAGCAGCTGCGCATCGACATCGTAGAGGACATTAGAAGGATAAACACAATCGCTGTGAGAGCGAAGAGGACAGGCATGATTATCCTGGGCGGAGGACTGGTGAAGCATCACATCGCCAATGCGAACCTGATGCGCAACGGAGCCGACAGCGCGGTGTACATCAACACTGCGCAGGAATTTGACGGGAGTGATGCAGGCGCACGGCCAGACGAAGCCGTCAGCTGGGGAAAGATTAAGCTAGACGGAGATAGCGTGAAGGTGTACGCAGAGGCGACGGTGGTGTTTCCGCTCATTGTTGCGGCCACATTCGCACGGGTGCAAAGGTCGCAAGGGCAATAACAGCAGGCGCTATACGCCATGCAGCACTCCAATAGCTCGTGCAATAAAGACCATGTTGTTGATTGACCGGAATAAGTGGGCTGGCATGTAAGGACGACTGCTGTATGGAGCAACGTTGTTGGTGCGGAGAGCGGACGCAGGGAAGGCGCGGACGGGCCCACCTTCCCCACTAGTCTCAGAGCTCTAGCGTGACTGCCTAGCCGGTCACTGTGGAGGTTAATCGATAAGGGAGCTGAGAGCTCTGTGATGACGACGATTGCGCCTTGTCTGCGCAGCCTTGTGCGATGAGTCAACCTCTGCAGCGCGTCGTGGGAGAGGCTGTGAAGGGCGCAGAGCCTCCAGGTTGAAGGCGCTGACGCCAAAGCTCCTTCGATTCGGGATAGCGCAGCGCGTGGGCCAGCCGATTCCCAGGTAGCTTTACCGCCTCACTCTGTACCTCTGTTGGCAATCGTGCCGCATGCTGGTAGGCTGCAGCCTTGTCAAGCTCCAGCCACGCCCAGGTTATCTTTCCTTCTTCTCCAACTCCAATTTCTACAGTCTCGAGCCATATCTTCAGAAGCACACGTCTGTTGCTCATTGTATCCATACACACTCGTCGACGCAATAACGCTACTAGCTTGCTGCACTCACCGATAAAAGCAACACACCACTGTCGTGCAGCCTCGTGCATATCTCCTCTCACTCATCTCTCCATTTGTACTTTTACCCAGCTTTACCTGCACTCCCGCCCGTCAAACGCCCGCTCTCCACTTTCACATGCGCCTCCACCTTTGCAGCAAACATGAGCGTCAGCGTAGAGCCACCACTGCACTTTAGCCAACAGCTCTCCAGCCCGCCACACTCACCAAACCACGTACTCCATGCGCAGACGCCAGCTTCTCCTCCACCACCGCCGCCACCACCTGCAGCCGAACCGAACATGAGCACCTCCACTTCCGCGAACGCAATGCCTTCTACAGGCCAAAACCACGATCGGGGCGATGCAGATATGCAAGATGGAGATGAGCCCACCCATCGCGATGCTTCCACAAACACCATCGCTGTCGATATCTCGGCTATAGATGAGGACGCTATGGACGTTACACCGGATGCCGAGACGGAGCTGTTACAGCAGAACAGCCCGGCTGAAGCACAAGAGGCTACTATTACTTCACCCACATCGCCTGCGCCAGAGCAAACGGTATGACAATGTCTTCTACTGGCTTATATTTGCACCAGTGCTAACCTACCTCAGACAGCGACCATCATTCCCATAGAGCCCCCTCCACCCGTAGACCTCGACGCACTGCCTCCCCCTGTTGATCCAAGCACACAACCCCCGCCTCCGCCGCCCCCAGTCGACCCCCCTCGTTCTGAATCGGGATCCGACGACGACGACGATGGTCTCCCACCGTGGCACGCGCTTCCAGAAGACTTGTCATCGCCTGACGAGGAGGAAGTGAAGATGATCGAGGAGAGGGGTGAACACAGTGCTCTAGACCATGGATACTGGGAGAGCGAGGCGTTCAAACCTCTGGACCACCCGGAGTATACCGCTGGTGAAGCAGGACGTATCAACTGGGCAATCGACTCGTATAATGGAACCCAAGAAAAGCCGAACCATGAAGTGCTTATGAAGTCTGATGTGGTCACGATTGGGGGCCATCAATGGCAGATCAAGTTCTATCCTAAGGGGAATGACTCGGATTATCTGAGCGTCTACCTCGAATGCCTGAGTGTTCAGGACTCCAAGGACGACAATGATAGTGACGTGCGCAAAGACATGCCCAGCGAAGAGGCCTCTGATCCAAGTGGAGAGAAGAAGGCAGACGAAGCTATGGTAATGGCCGAACATGCGCCAGCCGACGACCCGGCAGGCATGTTGCTTCAAGATAAGCCATCTACGCAAGAGCGTGGTGAAGGCACGAAGTCGAAAGATGTCCAGACATCAACCGAACCGGTCGCCTCTCAACACTCGCCTCTTCCACTTCTTGGATCGAAACAAATGCCCAAGCGGAATAGCGTTGCCGCGCAGATATCGGTCGTTCTCTACAACCCAACAGAGCCTCGCGTGAACTACTCGCGGAATGCTCTGCATCGCTTCTGCAATGGATCTCCTGATTGGGGCTGGACTCGTTTCCACGGACCCCACTACGATATCTCTCGTCGTCAGCATGGTCAGCGCATGGCGCTTCTTCGTGACGACAAACTTGCCTTCACTGCCTACATTCGGGTCGTGGAAGACCAGACGGATTGTTTGTGGGAGCATCCCATTCGTGAGAATCCGTGGGACAGTTTCGCAATGACGGGCCTGCAAGCTCTCATGCTTTCACCTGGCGGGAACATGATGTCTGCAATTGCCTCGTGGATGCTGTTCAAGCCCTTTCGAAATTTGTTGTACAGCATCGTCGTTCCGGACCCTCGCAATGAGCCTTTCACTCGGCCGAAGCCACTCGTCAGCGCTTTACAGCAAGTCCTATACTCACTTCGCACTCAAGTCGAGCCTGGAGCTGGCCCAGTCGCTCTTGATGGTATTCTGGATGCACTAGAGTGGTACCGCATACACGACAGCCTCCATAAATTGGATGTGATAGAGACTTGGGAAGTCTTGCGCCTGAAGCTCGAAGAGGAACTGCAAGGGACACCTCAGGCCGCCCAGCTGAATGCTATATGTGGACCAAAGCGCGACTATTCAATCGGTAGACCCAGCTACCGGGTACCTGTGGAAGGCGTGGAGAGTATGCAGCGTGCTGTCAACGAATCGGCTGATTTCACTATACCTGGACAGCCTCTGCCAGAGTTGTTGACCGTCGAGCTGAACCGGCATAAATTCGACAGCGCGAAGACGCGTTCGCATATCAAGGTGCTGAACAAAGTGACCCTTGACGACCGGATATCAGTTGGTGGCACCCCATACACACTGTATGGGTTTGTTGTGCACAAGCAAACACTTCAATCCTACGTATACCAGCCGATACTTCGACCTGAAGGCCCTGGTTCGCGCTGGTATATCTACAGTGATGGCAAAGATGAGAGCCAAGTCAAATGCCTTCCCAAATGCGAGGCAGTCGATGCGCACGAAGGCAAGCCTGGTAGTACTCAGATTACTGGCAACGACGCCGTGGCATACATTGCCATGTATGTGCGAGACGATGTAGCTCGGTCGGTATTCGTATCAGACGCCGAATCCGAACAGTGGGATGTTCCGGAGTGGCTCAAGCTGGAAGTAGAGGCCAAGAAGAACCAGTCTTCTCTTCCTCCAATGCCATCACTGCCAACGCACGAGCCGAACTCTGCGACAGATGAAGAGAAGGAAGAGAAGGTCACAGCGCAGCCACCTAAGACACTCGATTTCCGCGTCGTTGATTCACGAGTATACCTAGGGCACGAAGGTCCAGGTATATTTGACTTCTTTGATGCGAAGTGGGAAGGGTCAGAGCTTATCCACACATTGACGCTATCAAGCAACGACGGATGCAAAGAAATTCGCCAAAAGTTGTCTGGCCTTTTGAAGAATATCAAGGACCCACGACAGATAAAGTTCTGGTTTCTAGGGTAAAGTAGCCGTCGCAGATACATTGTACGACAGTTAGCTAACTTTTTGACAGTACGTTCCTTCTTCACTATCGCATGAATGCGGAGAGTATCTCTCGATAACGCGGTTTTCCTGTTTTGGTCCAGAGTATTGTTCGTGCTAACGATGCATGACAGATCCCACGCAAGGATCGCTGGATCGACCGAACCTCCTCGGTACCGGGCTCATCGAGTTTTCAGCTGGTAGCTACAGCCCACACATCGCTGCCAAGGAATGGACCCTGGAGTCGCCAGATTACCGGAGCATCTGGGTACATGTGACCGACTTCGAGAAGCTGCCTGAGCTCCCGAAAGAGGAGAAAGAGACTACAGAAGCTCCATCGCTCCAGGCGGGTGAAGTTGCGACAGATATCATCCATGTGGTCGAGACCGTAATCGAGCCTTCCAATACCCCGCCGCCACCACCTCCGCAGATAAATCCACATTCAGAGGATACGCCTATGAGCGACCCTGATGAGCCCGCTGTTGCACCTTCAGAACAACGCAACGATACCGCTATGCTGGAAGTGGAGTCGACTCCAACCGTCGATCCACCAGATGTTGATGTAGTAATCCCAGGCGCCGGCCCTAGTGACACCGAGATGGGTGGCACACAAGAGGATCTGCTACCACCACCCCCGCCTCCCCCGGTTGATACACCTGCAGAACCTCTACAACCACCCCCACCAGTGCGCAACCCCACTCCTGAGCCACCTCCAGATGAGATTTACTTCTTTCTCAAATTCTGGAACGCGGAAAAGCAAGCCTTAGAAGCTCGTGGATCGCATACTACACTTAAGTCTGCTAGATTGGATGACACGATCGTGGCATTGCTTGAGATTCCAACGGAAGACAAGAAGAAGATGGAGATGTGGGAGGAGGACGAGCTGACTAACACGCGATCACTGAAGCATCGCCGTACCTTTGCGCAAGTGGATCTACACAACGCGTGTGTCATCATCGTTTCGTTACCGCTCTCGGCTGAGAAGCGCAACGAACTCGCCGCTCGCGCTGCCCTTGCAGACCCACAAAGCTACCTCCAGTTGCGCGCTTTCGCTCGCAACTTCCCACACAAGTTACAAGGCCACTTTACCTACGACTATTTTTCGAGCGAGTACTACAAGGGCGAAGTTGTGAACGGCTACCCCCACGGTCATGGTACTAGAATCTACCACTCTGGCGCTACATATAGCGGCTCCTTCCGCCTAGGCCAACGCTACGGCCATGGTCTATACACCTTCCAGAACGGCGACACTTACGATGGTGACTGGGTCGACAACCAGCAGCACGGCACCGGAACCTACGTCGAGGCTGCCAGTGGCAACACATATGTAGGCGGGTGGCAGAACGACAAAAAGTTCGGCGAGGGCGTTACGCACTGGAAGAACGCACAAGAGTCGGAGAAACTCTGCAGGATTTGCTGGGAAGGTGACGCCGAAGCTGCTTTCTATGACTGCGGCCATGTGGTTGCTTGTCTGCCGTGCGCACGGGAAGTGCAGACTTGCCCCGTCTGCAGGAAGCGGGTCTTGAGCTCTATCAAGTTGTACTATGCGGCCTAGTCTCGTAAGGGCATTACTCTCGTTCAGCGATGTATACACAGGATGTACGGTATGGGGATGGGGGGTCAAGGAGTTTTTATGCTTTGATTACACATCACGAGAATGAGACATGGGTCGGACCCAGGTGGGCTACACATGGATTGGCGTTTAGGTGGATATGGGATAGGCGTTCACTTCTTCTTCTTCTTGAATTAGATTACCCCAATGCGAAGGGCAATTCTGAATGCGCACCATTATGATAGATGACAGTGGTAAACAATATTTGAGTCTACATTTCCTTGAGACGTTCTACCTTTTTAATTTTGTGGTGATGTGGACCGCAGCATACCAGTTTAGCATCTTCCTAGGGTACTTTTGGACGTCGTAGTTGCGACATGGTTTTGTGGTTATCAGCACATGCAGTTCGCATCATAACTTTGTTCGTTGTCATTTGTTGGTTGGGCGGCATGGCGCATATAGCGGAAAACATATAGAGACCAAGAACAACCCTCTCGTTCGATCTCGTTTGTTCTGACAACACCTGATACATTTTGCGCAAGGCTAATATGTGCGTGTCTGGAGTGTCAATGGAGTCCTTTTAGCACTGCAATCTCTAGCGCGGACGAGCCGACCTGTCCACTCCATCCCTGACCAGTTGTCAGCGTTTCCCCCCCTCCTATTCAATTCCGAATGCACTGCATTCTCTAGCGCAGACGAGCTGTGCTTTCATCCCGTGTCAGCAGTGAGAGCCTGAGACTTCGGGCTTACCATCTCAACGCGTGGTGCACTGCAATTCTTAGCGTGGATGAGATGTACGGACTGTGGCTGTGCTTGCACAGCCACCCGATGGTGCCTTGCTCGTTATCTCGAAGGACGTCATGTTTGAGGTGGGGTGTACTGTGATTATCCAATCAATGGGAGAGCTTATCAGTAGACCCATACTTTTTTGGGATTCGAAGTTCTCTGTCTTTCGCGCTCGAGCCCGAGGGGTCTTTTCGCGAGGGAACTTTGGTTGTGTACATTGGGGATGGATTCGGAGGTGCACTGCAATTCTTAGTGTAGATGAGTATTTCTATGTATTGTTGCCTCGAGGACTTTTCAGCCTTGCGCGTTATGACTGGCGAAGTATGTATGAGAAAACTTCGCTAACAAGGATCTGTACAAATGCCTATACCTTTTGTAAGGAAACGTTTGTAAGTAACAACAAGAAGGTCGAGCGACGAATGATGCGCCACTGAGGTAATGAATGCGCTCGAACATTTAGCGCGAAAGAAGAGGTGCGCTGTATTGCACCATACGTGGGCGCGCTTCACATGGATGAGCGTTCAAGATAGTGTGCAGCACCATGAAAGCTATGCTGACATAACGCTATATCTACGAAATTCCAATGTCATCAATCGAAATAGTTTCCGTACGCGCCGCTCTCATGTACTTTCAAATCTTCAGAAGTGCCACCTGGTTTAGTGCCACTGTAGACGTAAACAACAACACCACGATTCTCAATCCCTATGTCGTCGTTAACTGACGGAATGGCGCGCGAGGGTGCTTTTGTACATACTTCCGTTCTGATACGTAGGTAATCGCCACTGGCCGTTGTTCCGAAATTTTGGGATCACCGCTTCGAGCTCGTCCGGCTTGACTGAAAGAGCTAGAAGTGCAAGAAATATGGACAGACTACCCCTTAGGCCCCCGTATCGTTGAGATGTGTCAACAGGCCCATGATATACCTCTGGCAATAGAACCCAAGGCCACATAGAGCTAGCTCGTCGGCATCTCAATGTCGGGTGTGTTCCGCGTACCTCGAGACTGGTCGAGAAGTCGTCGTCATTATGACGAAAGCTAAGACCATGCCATTCACTGTCCTCTCCCGTAGGCGGGCATGCCGCATCTGAATTGGATAACGTCAGCGTACATACTACAATATCCAGCAAAGATCCTCCGTGGTTGTAGAAGATGCAGGTAATGCGAATTACGCTGCGATACAGTGATAAGTTTAATGATGTAGGGAGATGGTCTTACCGCCTTGCGCTACATCATATGTACCTGAGCTGCAGTAAACAGAGGCCCTGTCATACAGCGTGAACGCAGCAGGTAGCTCTGCCATCTGATATATGCTCGAACTACACATCCACCACTTTCCCGATATGCCTCCGTTGACGCGTATGCTTTTATGAGCAGGTCCCATTCCCTCAATGAGTTCAGACCTGATCTCGTCGATCCTGAATACGAATTGCAGATCGGACACCGCATGCGATGTTGAGACTCGAGGAAAGGCTTGCCCGGTACTTGCACCTCTCGTTACAGCGTAAGTGTTGGGACCTGACGTAACCACGATCGAGTCACCTCTCAACTGCGGAGTAGTGGCGCTGGAAGAGACTGTAGTGGATAAGCTCGGCAGAGGAGAAAGCGGCTCATCTCTCGAAGCTATGACTATTTCTCTCTGTAGTCTCTTCAAGGCATTCTTCCGTCCCTCCCCATATATGAGTGGCATATGGATGCTAAAAATTCCGAGCAATGAGTATGCGGCATCTTCTTCCCGCTTGGTGATGCGTTTGCGTGCCCATGAGATTCGTTCTTCGACTGCAAAATCCGACAGTGAGCTTCCACGGAGAGCTGCCTCAGGAATGCCAGTGATCCATTGGATCTGTGGGAGAAGTGTGGTCCGATCGCCGAGTCGATAACCGTCCTTGGAGTAGAATTCGATAGACACAGGCGCAAGGAGTTCTTGGAGTGTCCAGCCCCGAGTAAACCACCTGCTGCTTCGAAAGGCCAAGATCCATGCTGGCTCAGACTCTGTGTCCTGAGGCATGACGTTTCCAACAGCAACATCGGCAAGATACACGTAGCAAGTGACCGCATTGTGGTACCATCGATACATCGAGTTGATGGCTTCGCCGACCTCTTGGCTACTCTCCTGTTTGATGCAGCATGTATCAACCCAGAAGAAATGGATGCCGTCTCTCAGAGCTTGCTCTCCGCAAAAGCGTATTTTGCGATAACCGGAAGCCTTGCCTCTTGCGCGGCCCTTCTTGACATCCTTGAACGAGATCTCATCGTCGTCAGCACCCCACGTATGGGACAGAATGGCGTATGGAGGAACGTCGTTTCCGAAATATTCGACAAGGCTGAGATCGCCATTGCTGTTGATCTGAAGAAGACGCATTTGGACAAGGTAGTTGATGAGCGAGGCCTGAAGCACCGGACCAAAGATGTTGTCGCAAAGCGCTGCCTATCAGTGAATGCGGTGCAGTCGAATGTCGCGTATACTCAGGTATTGCTGTCAGCCGTGATGTTATGGGATGACACAGAGGCACTGCGCTGCCAAGGTCCGGTGACCGTGATCAGCCACCCAACATGGGCGATGGGTATCATTGGACGAGGAATAAGCACACTCCACCAATCGCGTCATACCGAGCATCTCCATACATGATCGCGCGAGAATGCTGCGAGTTATCTACCCTTTGATGCGGCTGTTGATATACATCAGGATGCTCGTGACTAGCTGAGGTTGGCCCATGGATGACATTTGCAGGGCCTGCTCATATACTAGGTATGGTTGTTATCGCTGCGTAGATTTTGGTAAGCGAACGGAGCGGCAGCCTTGTCCACGACCGCAATCCGACTGAAACTAAGCGAAGAATCGGAAATGTAGTTAATGGCATCTTGGGTGTGTCTTCGCGAACCATGGTGCCCCTCTGGCCACATCGCAGTTGCGCAGGCAGCACTTTTTCCCGCAGGCAGCAGATGGCTCCTACTATAACCCCTCACCCCATCTCTCCATATGAATGGAACGTACTCTACAACAATGAGACCTTCGCATGAGGACATGGACCGTCTCGCATCAGCCTTGGACTCTACAACAATTAGTTCTTCGCGCAACGACATGGACCGTCTCGCATCAACCCTGGACTCGACAACGGTTCAACACAGGAAATTATACTTGCGGTTTCTCTCATTTGTGAAAGCACCTTTTCGTCTAGGTCGTCGATCGGTTCAAGAGGTAGAAAGAGGTCGATCGGTTCAATACAGTTTCGGCGACTTCGCTGTATTGCCGCTGGAACTTCGAGAAGAGGTATGGCTTTACGTTTACGACAGCCGCATCGTCTATGCGGCACCAGTTTGCGACACGAAGCCTTCGCCACTTCTGTGCTGTTGCAAAGCGCTCCGGGAAGAGATCGTTCGCACTATCATCAGGCATAGCGGGGTGAGATTCAAGTCGCCAAAAAGTCTACACTTATTCGCTTCTCGCACATCTGCGCTTCGCTCTACAACCTCTGAAGAAAGCAGCATGCAAAGCTACTCGACTCCACGCCACATCTACGTCGATCTGTTCGCCGCGTTATCGACAACCGCGGGCTTACTTGAGCCAACAACACGACACGGATGGAGGCAACGCGAAAGAACGATAAACCGTCTAAGAGGCGATGATCGTCGCACACTATTTGACTCGATCGAGCGTTCCGTACTATCCCATCTTGAAGCTTGGCACCAGGGTTTCATGGCCCTAATCATATCCCGAACCACGAAGTCGGTCATCTTCGGCTTCGGAAATATGGGAAGAATAGAATGGGTTGCTTCTATGTCCACCAGTAATATTAATGAAGACGGGTCGCGAATGATCGCCGCAGTACGCTGGAAGAGCGAAAGAGATAGTCGAATTGAGATAGACGAAGTGAAAGAGACGATCGAACTGAAGTGGACGAAGTGAAAGAGACGGTCGAAATGAGGTGGACAGATCCACAGGGTGGGCAACGGGGGTTAGGAAGCGTTACGGTCTGCGAAGTAGTATAAGAGGTTGAGCTCATACGAACAGGTGGAGACACAAAAGGACAACATCGAGTAAATGCGATGTATAGAGTTGTTGGGCAAAAATCAAGTATGCGAGTGCTTGCGGAAGATGGGCTGGGAAATGCTACTAGGATTATTCTACCTGCTGAGGTTGAAACTGTCAGTGTGAATGCGAATTGATTAAGCATACAATTTAATGAAGATGTGAGAACCAGCGAAAGATGACTCTTCAATAGGCTTGGACTGCGTGGCCGTACAATGTGTACGATCTGGAGCAGACGCTTTCAGATTTGTATAACGGATGAAGCGAATCTTCTAATGACAAACTGGCTGTCCAAGCGCTTGTTCGTCTTGTCCACGTGTATACAGCCAATATAGGGGCTTCGTGGTGTCTGTCAACGCGTTCGTAAGGCTCCTCGGTTGTGCTATGGCGCGGTCGAGACTCGGGGATCGAGCGATTCGTTTGACCCAGGCGCTGGGCATATGCGATGAATTGACGCGTGCGAGGTTCGAGTGGCTCGCGAGAGCGCGAATGGTATTGTGGGGTCAGAATCGCGCGACCCGCGATGTGCTGCCAGGTCGGGATGTTCCGAACACGCTAATATCGTTACGTCATGCGCTTCCCCGACCTCCTTTCACGTCCATCCGGCGCAGCGTGAAGTTGCGCATTCACACAAATCATCTAACGACAGGCTGGTGTAACGCGTAGAGAAGTGTAGCTACCGAAATACCCCTCTCAACCAGCTTGCACTACGGAGAGACTGTCAATATAGCCAAACGGTGGACGTGGAGCTTCTTTCTCGAAGGGCGACAATTAACGACGCACTTTGGACTATGGCAGTATACGAATCGTTACGAGATGCCTGTTCACGATGGTCTTCGCGTCGGCCGTGATGGTTTGAGTAACCGGACAGAGATGGGCCTTAACCAGTGTTCTATCGGCCTTCCATCCCATATTTTTCCTTCTCAACCACCCAACGTTACGACTTCTCTCACTATTGGAACACCGGTTACGACTTTGTTCTACCAACCGAGGTAAATGTGCGTTTGCGCACTCGCCGAGATCAACATTCCTTCACTGCCCGTTTGTTGTTGACCTATACATGCTCTACCGTTACAGTTGCCAGAAGCTAGCTCTACTTTCTACAGTACTAGGGGCAATACTCTTAACAACTATTAGATAGGTTACCTAACTATACTACTACTTATAGTAGCTTTATAGTATAAATTTTTAGTAAAGTTTAGCTTTTTATATTCTTTTATAAAATTATTTAGCTTTTATATATAAATATTTATATAAATTATAATAAGTATATAAGACTTTATAGCGCTAAGTAATTTTTAAGTAAGTTACTTTTTTTCTCTATATTATACTAAGCTAATATAAAAATAAAATAATATATATAATAAATACTATTATACTATTAAAATAAAACTAGATAATTTAATTAAAGCCTTTACTTACTATACTTATAACTAGTACTTAAAGTACTAGTATACTTATACTTAGTATAAGCTATAAGTAATTTAAGACTTTATTTTTTACTTTATAAATTCTAAAAATATATAAATATAGTATTTTATAGTAAAGTGCTTTTATAAATTACTACTTAAAGACTCTAAGAATTAGTAGAAGAAGTAGCTTTAAAGAACGCCTTAATATTAGTTTAGTAGGCATAGATTAACAATAGCTTCTAGCTAAGACTTGGCCAAAGGAATAGCCTAGACAGGTTCTTGACTTTACTGCGGGGTTCGGGAACACGCTATTGGGTGTATAAGAGAACCTTCTAAACGTATATTTGGCACTGCATCAGATACTAACCACCGCTAGCATCAACTAACAGCTAAAATGGCCCCTTCAACCCGACTACGAGCTAGGCCGGACCGCCGTGTCAACTATGCTGAGCCCTCTGGCCCGATAGGTACCCGCAATAACCCTGTGCGTATCGAAGAGACCCCAGAGCCCGAAGCCGGCTCCCGAACCTCGCCTGCCCCTACCACATCCGTCAGAAAGCGCGGTCGTAAGCTTCCTGTTCGCAAGAAAACTAGAGCTATCTCACCTGAGGTACCAGAGGCCTCTCTTGAGAAGGACTCCAAAGCTGTCGCTCGTGTCAAGGCTGGTGCTGTTGTTAAACCAAAAGCAGAGCCGAAGACACGCAAGAAGCTTCCGACACCGAAGGGAAAAGAGCGACCGAAGAAGCAAGAGTGCTCAATCTGCGCAACAACCAAGGACACGTCTAGATCTTTCAAGGTCCCCAATGATGCTTGCGAACATCTTCAGACTATCTGTAACTTATGTGTCGCAAAGATGCTCAAGACAAAGGTCGCCGATCGTCAGCTTAAGGATGCAGAGTTGAGCTGCCCGGTCCACAAATGCGACTATTTGCTAGACTATGCAGCTCTTCAGGCTATAGTTAGCAAGGCCGCTTTCGAAGAGTAAGTCCTTCACTTAAACAAGTCATTGATCAATATGCTAACCCATTCCAGCTACGATAAAGCCGTCACGAAGCACGCTTTATCTAGTGGCGAATCATACATCGTCTGTCTTTCCGCTAAGTGCGGCCGATACTTCTCCATCGAAGACTGCAAGAACACCAAAAGCAGCAAGCAGCGGGTCGTCTGCCCCTATTGCGAACACGAAATTTGCTTGAAGTGCAATCGCCCATGGACGTCGCATGGGAAAGGCGGGTGTGACCAGGCGAAGAAGGCGGAGGACGACTTGTCCAAGAGGGCTGTCAAGACTATGGGAGCCAAGCCATGCCCAAAGTGCGGTATGAACATCCAGAAGCACGGTGGATGCGATCACATGACATGTAAGTCTCGAATAAGGTCAAACATCAGTCGTGAATTCGATACTAACGTACATTTTCAGGTGAGCAGTGCGGCCACAACTTCTGTTGGGTGTGTCTCGTTGAGTACACCAAGGACATTCGGCACCGCGACGACTGCCCGCATGCGCGAGTTCACGTTGCTGTCGATCCTGGCAATTGGCTTCCTGAAGACTTGACTCTTGCGCAGATCAACCGCCTTATCGCCGAAGCAGATGCTCGTCTCGATGCGCCGTTGGAAGCTCCCGCACACGCTCCCGTACACGCTCCTCATGTGGCACCGGCCCCACCTCCACCCGCTGTTGCTTTCGGCGGCATACTCAACCCTTTCAATTGGATGGGCGGTGGAGATGGAGATGGTGAGAATGCAGGCGCGGCTGGTGCTAATCGTCACCCACCTGCTCGGGACCATGAACGCAGACGGCGGGGCGATGAATTTTGATCAGCTAACAAAGCGGAGCAAAGATGGTCAGGGTCCAACCCATTGGCGGCTGAGCAGTACTAGCTCATTGCGAAGCCATGACGATGCGGCTTTAGGTACTCAAAGCGCGCCCATCTTGGATACCCGTGTACATGTAGCTAGCCGTAAGATTTGAATGTATACTTTGGCAAGATCGTCGTCATACCCCTACGTCTCGGAGCTGCCCTGTTCCTTGTGATTACTTCACACATTTTCGCTTGAGTAATAGTCGTACTGCTGTCCTCCGTCATAGATTTTGGGATGTCATCGTTGCGGATTTTTGATGTCATCGTTTTGTTGGTGGTAGGATGGTATACATCGAGAAGCCGCGAGGCTAGGGCCAAAGGCAGGCACTGTGTTCTCGCATACCATAATGTGAAAGAGCCTGTCTGTTATGCATCTTACCTCTAACAACCGAAAACTACCCTGAAGCATACATTGTCGCCATGCTGTCCAGATTGAAAAGTAGAGTACGACGTCGCTGCCCGGGTAAACTTTGAGCTTTGCTTCCTCTTAGCTGTGTTGCACCTTCTCATACACCAAAATCCACGCAGGCACGACGCCGAAGAAACAGCAACAACCGTGCGGCATGTCCGCTGGCAGTCGCGAACCACACCACCCAACATGACTTACTCGCAATTGCGCTCTCATAGTCCTCCTTTCTACAACCCGCTCCGCGAAGTACGCCATTATGAGCGATGCGAACTCCGACGACTGGGTCGATTCATCAGAGGACTCAGACGACGACATAGACGACGAGGCGAGGTGAGTGACCCTGAAATCCTTCATATCCCAATATGGGGGTTTCTGTCTGCTTATATGCCGCTAATGTATCCGCCTCGCAGCGACGGAGATCATGAGACCAGCACCAGTGAGCAACAGTTCCCGCGCAGGAGCGTGGATGAGGTGGAGAGCGCTGCGTAAGTATCTGGCTATCCCCAGCAGTCTTCCGCCCATCCCACGCACCTATTGGCTCAACATGACGGCTAACCTATATCCACAGCGCCAACACGCGCCGCCGTACGTCATCCATCTCATCCGGGCTCGCCGCCATGACACCCGCCGAACTCACATCCACTCAACCACGCCAACCCACTCCCCCGCCACCAAGACGTAGCTCCACACTCCCGGATCAAATCGAGCACGACCCCAGCCATGATAGGGCGCGATCTCCAAAATCGTCACTGCCGGACTACCACGACCCGGACTCACCTACCCAGAAACGAGGCCATGGTATACCTCGCAACCCTGTGGCGGATACATGGCGTGAGGACGCGTACCTGAAGAAGGAGGCCAGCGAACAGAAGATCTCCAGCGCAGAGGCCGGGAAAATGCAAGATAGGTGGCGATGCGAGTATTGCGGTCGACTCAATGAGAGGGGAGCCGAGACAACAGGGCCTGATCCAGAAGATCCACGCGTGGGTACTGCTGGTCCATCTACCGCGTACGTATACTTTTCCCGCGTCGAAAAGCAACCCCAAAAGATGATCTGGATACTGCAATGCTAATACGAGTCTCAGACCAACTGGCCCAGTTCGCATTCCCGCATACGAACCCTCAACTGTATCGGAAACGAGATGCGCATACTGTGGCGAGAAGCTTGCATTGGACTTACGGCAGTACGATCCACGTGAGTTCTCGGAGTTTGGAGTCAACTTCAATCTGATGGAATTCAAGAATGAGGCGGAGAAGATGGCACATGCGATGAAGGCTTGGCAGAGAGCGCGTCACAGGGTTGGCATTAGGTGGAGCGAGGATGACAGGAGACACAGATCAGAATCAAGGAAAGCAAGAGAAAAGCGAAGGGAGGAAGAGAAACGGAGGGAGGAAGAGGAAGTGCAGAGTCCGCTTGGATGGACGGTGAGACCGGGAAGTGAGGAGAGAGTGGAGCGTGGAGACGATGAGGGCGGAGAGGACGACGCGGAGAACGAGGATGCATGGGAAGACGACCATGAACCAGGAAGCCCTCGAGAGTGAACTGTTGCGTTGATGTAGGCGCCCGACCACATTGATAATTGAACAATCATACTACCAACTTCCCAACCACCAAACCAGACCCCCAAGCCCCAGCGTGACACCACCATGCCACGCGATCCCCCAAGCCATCGCGAACAAGAACTTGGGACTAAACACAGTCCAAATGAAGAGATGCTGCCTCAACACCGTACAAGCCAACATAACAGCGCCCAACATACCCCCCGTCCAAAACGTCAACAAAGCAACATGACCCACCCATTCCTTCCTTTCCTTCCTCGTCTCGCGTCCCTTCTCCTCCTTCCGCGCCAGCTCATTCAACCACTCCCTCTCCTTCGCCACCCAATCCGCAACATGCAGCTCACTAGTATCAATATAGCGTTGCGTGCGACCGTGCGAACCCAGCAGAAGTATACCAGCCAAAGACCAATACACAGGTCCCGCCCAGTTCGACAGGAACACCAGCAGACCGACGGCGAGCACGTTGTAACCCGAGATACCGTTGTAGGAGTTTGAGAGGTCGATGGAGGAGATGGAGTTGCTGTTTCCGAGGGCGAAAAAGGAGGTTTGGGTTAGGAGGAGGGTTGTTAGGGTTGTGGCTGTGGGGGTGAGATCGAGGAGGGCTGTGTGGGGTTGGGGGTTAGCGCGTGGTGTTCAGAGAGACGGGGGTGTTGGGTGGTGTGGAGATGAGATGGGGTGGCTTACTGAGGAAGAAGTATTGGAGTCGGAAGAGGAAGTAGAGGGGTATGTTTTGTGCTTTTGTCTGCGTGAGCAGGAAGAGCGTTGTTAGGTCGAAGAAGGCGACGGCGAGTTCTGGGGTGCTGTTAGTAAGTCCCTTTCGACTTCATGTAGGAGGGGTGTGACGTACCGCCGTTGTCCTGCTTTCCTCGTCTCTTTCTCCGCTTTGATCGCGTCCACTCGGCGAAGGTAATCCAGGCTCCGCTCAGAAGTAAACCTCCAAAAACCATTCGTGCTAGGCCGACGAGCTCCAACATCTCGACTTTCTCTACCAAGCCTGCGTTGAGGCCGTAAGTCATCTCCGGCGCGTCTTTGACAGTGAAGGCAAGCTTAAAGATAAACGCTGTGCCGCAAAGCGGTAGAACAGCAATAGTTCCAAACATGCGATTCTGATCCGTAGACTCAATCTCCACACTGTGCATCTTCTGTTCGCCGTCGAAAGTCGCAATAGAACGCGCAACATGTCTGGCTATACGGATGGTGACATCCATGTACGTCGCACCGATGAGAATCCAGAGTATGACGGACGAGTTACCGTGGAAGAGCCCACTGTTGACGATGTCGTCGGCGCCAGCGTACTTCTGCCCAGTCTGGTTCCATCGCCTGACAATCCTGTGTATGGCCAGCGCCATGATGGCAGGGTGAAAGATCCAGCTATTGTACCATTCCTTCCGCATGTTGTTGAAGAAGAGGCATAGGAACCAGCCGGACGTGGCCCAGTACCAGAAATTGTGTTCTTCTTCCACGTAGGAGGATGCGAACATGAGGACAGCGTACAGTACGAGGGCGAAGCCGTAGTAGATGCCAGCTGGCGTGGCAGGTCGGATAGCAGGGAGTGTGGAATAGCTCAGCGCGCAGATGAGGAAAGCTAGACCGGTTCCGAGGAAGAGGCGAGTGACGTTGTAGTTTGAGGCTGTGCTGGACATCATCTCCTGGGCTTCGTGCATGAACTCGTAGACGTTTGCTTGGAAGTCGGCACCACTGCTGATCGCACCGACAGCTGCCTGCCAGAGACACGCTAGCAACTGGCCGTCAGATAGGTGCGAGCGGCTTTCCCCAGGTTTGAAGCATGTGAACCCCAGATCGCCTTCCGTCAATGCCTGTTCGTCAAATCGTAGATTGGTGTACTTGGCTTCGACAATCTTCTTCATCTGCTTAGCATTGCGGTAGAGAAGTTGCATGCGGTCCGACGGATTATCCCAGAATCCTAGAAACTCCTTCAAGAAGACACCGAGATTGTTCTGTGGGACAGGAAATCCAAGCAGACCTGCAAGTGTCGGGGCAATGTCGCTCTGTTCAACCAAGCGGTAGTACTCGAACTCTCCTTCGTTCTTCGGTTTGATGGGACTCCGCTTGTCAGCCGCTTCAGTGACTTTGCTGAGCTTCGGGCTCATGAAGACGAGCGCGGGGGAGGTTTCGCCCGGCGATGAGCCACCGTGGTTGCCGCCATCGTTCATGCCGTGATCGCCGCAGAGTACGAGGAGAGTGTTGGAGAGGTGGTCTTCGTTCTCGATGGCTGCGTAGATGTCGCGAACGATGCCATCCATCTCGACTTGCTTAGGGACCATATTAGGACTGTAGATACATTAGCATTCTGCCGCTACTCAAGTGAGGGACCAGAGCAGTGCACCTCTTAGGACCAGCCTTATGCCCGATATGATCCAAGCCCAGATAATGCATAATCATAGTATTCCAGTCACTGTTCAGCAACTCGTTAGGAACATGCCTCGTCACATTGTTGTCAACCTCTGTGAAATCCTGCACTTGAGAATCAACAATTTATTACTCCTACATACAGCGGAGAGCTTATGACTGACCGATACAAAGAAGCTGCTTGTGCCATCGGCGCGCTCAAACACGTTCGGGAAGAGCTTCAGCCAGGTGTCATCACCGTACATGATCAGCTTTCCTTTCCCATTGTCATAGTCCTTCGCTTTGATCTGCGCGAGCCAGGTGTCTTGCGTCGCGAGGGTGGACGTCGTGTCTGATTCGGCGAAGTTTAGGATTACGTCTACGAAGGAGGGTATGGAGCCTGTCGTTATGGCTTTGACGCGGGGCATGGTGATCGTAGGAGAGGTAGCGTGAGCTGTGAACGGAAGCGCGGTTCCGTCTCGTATCAGACTAGGTCATAGTCAGTTGAATTGCGCGTGCGCAATTGTTCAAGGAGTGCCATACCTCTGCACGAACGTCATGCCGCTCTCCTCTCCGTGCGCGAAGTCGCTCCTCAGCGCATCAACAACCATGAAGATGAGCTTGTCAAACGGTGCCGCGGGTGGCTTCTGCCAATCCTCTCCCATCTTCTCAGACCATGCAAGCTCTTCATACTCCGCTAATCCGGGCATAAAAGGTTTGTACGGGAAGAAGCCTGTCGCGAAGACCAGTATCGCGACCGGGATGAGGAGGTTGGCAACCGTGAGAAGAACCGTTCGAAGCGCCATGATGACCTGTCAATGTGCGTATTAGTTGATTAGAAGTTCAAGACGCGCTCACAGCATGACGAGCAAGTCCAATGCCAGATGGGAAATTTGACGCGTCCAACATGGTGTCGCAAGACGCGACGTTACGTTTGAGGCTCTCATAACTCAGGGTCCGAGCTCTAACCCCAAAGGCCTTAGTGGAGAACGCCATGGAGCCAATGACATCACTACCTTGGATGTGAGCTTCCTTATTGTCAGCATTTGCTCCGAGCAAGCATTCATGTCTCCAACGCCATTGGGACTTACTGGCTTAGCAAGGACAAGTCTACCTGTGTGTATACCGATTCGACATACCTTCCCCCCGATCCGTTCCATCCGCTCAGCCACGCGTTTCCCGAGATCCGACCGAACTTTCGAAAAGCAGCTCTCTACATACCTCCAACAGCAACACCTTCCGCACACTCCGAGCTCATCATCTCCGGCTTCCAACATGTCCTTCTTACTTCCTGGTCTTCGTAGAGGCTTGATGCTCAGCACGCCACTCATCTTGTCGACGCCTTTACTGGCGTTCCAGTTCCGAAATGCGCAGCGCATACGATGCGATGGTCCGGATCCAATCACCAAGATCAAGAACGACCTCACAAATAACTACACAAATGAAGCGAGAACACCAGTCGTCACTCAATCAGGTGCCATGAACCCGCAGGCAGTTCGTCAAATCAGCATGGGAAGCATTTTGGGTGTGATTGGAGGACTAGGAATCAGCGTATTCAGCAAGCCTTTGGCTGTACTGATTGGGCTGGGGATATTTGCTTTGCAGGTAAGTCGACAGTTTTGTTTGTGAAATTTCGATTGGAATCTAGGATACATGGATGGGTACGCCGCATGCATTTGGGGATATCTATGTGGTATATGCAAGACACGCTACCGATCATTATGCTTGTGATTTCGAAGAAGTTGAAACTGACAGAAGATAGTTCATCGAGTCGCGAGGGATCCACGTCATTCCGTACTCATTCCTGGAGCGCCGGGTAAAGTCGATGAATGTCCGATCACTAGTACGCGACAACGTTGCCTTCAAGTTGTCTTTCGGCCTAACGTTCGCAATGGCCGCATTTGCCGAGTTTTAAGTTGCTGGACGATGTGTATCCTTTCAGTATGCATTGGGCTGTGGGAATCCATGGGCGAATCGATGTGCTGGGTTCATTGCCTGGGGCTGTAGTTGCATTTGCAGTTGCTTGCACGTCTGCCAGAAAGCTTTCACGCTGTCTTTGAAGGCCGCGCCATTTCTTGCGTTTCTGTGTGTATGTCAGTACCAAGATACAGAAATCCAAATCACGAGTCAAACTTACCTGGTCATGCTCTCGATGAGCTTGCGCACCATATCCTGAACACCCTGGTCCTGTTGGAATCGCTGCAAAAGCGGCTGCTCTGCTAGCGCATTGGTGATGTATGCCCTAGAGTTTTTGTCGGCTCGAATTAGAGCTCGCAGAGGTGCGACAATGTGCTCTAAACTCGTAAAGTCCACCTCTCCGCATACGTTGGCCATAAGTGCAAGCGTCACTGTCGGACCGAAGTGCGCCACGATCTCCTGCGTTGTAGCCTGGTGAGGGCTATTCGTATTGCCTGCAAGCTCGAAAATGTCTTTCCATAGCTTAGCAGCCGCGCGTTTTGGTAGGACTTCAGGCGACTTGATGGACTCGACCGTGAAGCCGAACATGCCGGACAGATTCTCAGGAGATTCTTGAGTCATGATACGCGGATCAGTGTTGATAAAGTTCTGGACCAGTTCTATACAGCCGACAGCGATTTCCGGGTCGTTGCGTGGATGTTGCAGTGCCTGCATGATGCTGAGGTCGTGTTGGAGTAATCGCTGGGCCTGAGCCTGGAAGCCTTCCGGTTGGTGATGCTTATGCGATGAGATCCAGCAGCATGCTGTCTCCAAGACAAATGGCAGTCTCGGTGTCTGCACAGTGGTCTTCGTAATGAAGTCGATCGCAGCAGAATGAGGTAGTACGAATGGACCCGACACGGTTTCCTTAAAACCTGTGCGGAGGACACAACACGCCGCTTCGATGATCTCGTCGTTTCCAGGAAACACCTGCGTCATATAATTGACAAGATTTATGACCTGGTTCTGGATCTCTTTGCCTGGACCTTGCAACCAGAACACTGAAGGCTCCTTGTCGGATTCCAAGTCCACTACTTCTTCGTCCGATGCTTGCATTGCCTTTCCAACGCTTGCAAGACACTTCAAAGTAGTCAGGGCTAGCACTTGGCCTTCTTCTGCATCGCCTCCTTCTTTGGTGATGTTGATTGACTGCATGGCATCGCGTGTGATGTACTGGAAGAGCTGCCGTACACCCTCGAACTGCTTCTCTTCTGTATCTTGAGCTTGTACTATAGCGGCGATTCCCTTCAAGACCATACTCTTGGTGAACTCCTCAGCAGTGGCATACGTTAGGAACTGTTCGTACATTTGGAAGAATGAGGGCAGCTCCCCTATCAAGGACTTCCGACACTCGGAGCAAAGTGAAGCAAAAGACTTGGCAGCGCCGTGAGCGATAGCTGGCTGAGCAAGAGCTGCGAGCAGGAACGGAAGAACTTGAGGGAGGAACTGCGGGTTTCGGAGGAAGAAGTGGTTCAAGGCGGCGACAAGTTCCACAGCGGTCCTTCGGGTGATAGCCGGTACACCGGGAGTGCTGGATATGGTTGCGAACAATGGTTGCTCGAACAGTCGGGTTAGACGATTGTCGGAATTTTGAGTTAGAGCGTCGGCGATGGCGATCAGACCAAACAGTCCCGTCTCAAGCTCTAACCAGTCACCTGCACCTAGTCCGCGTAAGGCGAAATCGACAAACTGGTCGGTGAGCACGTCACGCAACGGGTCGTATGCCTCCATGATGATATCTCGGACGTCAATGCGGAAGACCTTGAACGTTTTCCTTGCGTCCGAATCCCATGATTCGGTGACGTCGGCAGATGGATAGATGATCTTCTGTACGAGCTCTGAAACTGCTTGGAGAACATTGGTCTTTGCGGTATTCATCCAGTCGGGCACTTGCTCTCCAGCGGCATATAAGAAAGTTTCTTCGGCGATGGCGCTGACATAATTGCTCCAGAAGTCGAGCACCACAGGTGCAATCTCGTCTTCAGCGCCTACGGGGTCTGGATATTTGAGAAGATTATGTAAGAAGGACATGACCTGCTGATGATGTGTGCTTTCTGGCTGCTTGTAGATGACCTTGGTTTCAAGTAGAATCTGTCCGTATGCGACAATAATCCGTGCGAGGGAAACGGTTTCGGCGTCAGAGTTATTGAGTATCTCCATACCCCACGGACCTGAGATTGCCGACCATAGCATTTCTTGGTGTTTTGCTTCGAAGAAAGTAGGGTAGTTCTCAAGGATCTCAGCTACTAGTTCCATGGCATCTTCAACATGATATTCCAAGCACGTCAGTGCGAGCTCATTCACTGACCGAAGATGTTGGAGCTTCTCAAGGTCGTCTTTGAATTCAGACTGAGCGTAGAAGATCCATCCAGTAAAGCACTTGAGCGCGGCGATGCAAATCTTCTCGCCTTGCTGCACTGACTGTGCGTAGTTGGGGTCATCGATGGAGATTGACAGCCATTTAATGCCACGACCGAATGACACGTGGAGAAGAATTTCAACGCTCTCTACGTTTGCTACCATCCGCTCTTGCGACTTCCGGTCGGGGGTGTTAGACGGCTTCTTGGCTTCATCTGCTAAGCTCATGGCAAAGTCAAGCATAACTAGAAGTTGCTCATCGGAGAATTGCGGAAGGAGATCCCATGTCGAAGGATGTTCTTTCAAAGCCTCGTCTAGGACTGGACGCTGGGCGGCAAACGATGCGGCAAGACTCCTGATGCAGTGGGTCCATACGGAAATGGGCTTTGAGAAGTACTGTGCCAAAGTCGAGCTGACTTTCCGGGTCGCGATGGATGAGCTAGGCCGTGAGACAAGATGATGGATAAGTGTTGAAAGCAGTTGCTCGGACTCCTCTTCGCTTAGTTCAGCCGAGTCGGCGTTGAGCTTCACGGTGAGCGTCAGGGCACCGAAGAAGCGGACCTGCTCGTTGTCGCTCTTCAGGAGGGCATCTGCAATTTCCCAGCCTTGGGGAGAGCGTTGAAGAACACGAAGGGTGGCCTCGGTTTCGGCGATCTTCTTTGCTTGGCCGGGTTCGTAGATGGACTTTACTAGGCGTTCAATCTCCTCATAAGGCAGAGGAAAGGCGCCGTTGCTCGCCATGCTGAGCTGTCTCAACAGGCTTTGCACTGTGGATTGCTGTCAGTTATGCTGCCAGATGTCAGGGTTCCAGGAACCAGGTCAGACATTACCGAAAGCAGGAAGGTGCGACGTGAGATGTGGAAGGCGCGAAAAGAGGGTACACAAAATCGAGTGCGATAACGACTGCAATTGGCCCCCTAGACGATAGACATAGCCCGTCGTATTTCGAGATCGTTAGGGATGGCGGTTCTAGGCTGTGCCGAAATATAAAGGTGCAGGGCCGGGGGTTGGGTGAGGCTGCGCGAGGTCGCCTCTACCTGCGCGTATGGTGGGGCAAAATCGGAAGCAGACTACGGCGACGGAAGCTCATGTTAGTGACTGTCCAACGTTGGGGACCTGGTGTTGCAATAAATACAGATGCGCCTTCCTACGGTGCCTGGGGGTGAGGGCTCTTGCGCTTAGCAAGGCTTGATTGGAGCCCTGGCGATTGCGCTTAGTGCGGGACTGGCTGCGGCGTTGTCGCTGTGCTGTGGGCGGGCACGGCGGGGTGTTGTGCATGTCCCGATCGTAGGCGCGAGACCGTGGCATACCCTATATGCTCCTCCCGCGTTTTCTAGGGCGCTCCCACGCGACAGCTGCTGCATATGTAGCCGCAAGGACGCCATCTTTCCGAGTCAGACCCTTCCACGCTTCTGCTGCCCTGCGTGCCATCGACATGTCCAAGGTAGACACGACCCAGCGGCTGGCGGACCTCCGCAAGCTCATGAAGGAGCGCAATGTCGACATCTACAGTAGGCGTGTCCGCGCAGACATGTGATGACATATGACTGACGCATAGTAGTGGTCCCGTCTGAAGACAGCCACCAGAGCGAGTACATTGCCCCATGTGACGCGCGACGAGGTCAGGCCCCCGCTACCTATCGCAGCGCACCCATTGACACCACCCAGAGTACATCAGTGGCTTTACTGGCTCCGCTGGCTATGCCGTCATCACCCACGACAAGGCCGCCCTCTCCACCGACGGACGCTACTTCAACCAGGCCGAGAAGCAGCTAGACAGCAACTGGGAGCTGCTGAAGCAAGGCATACAGGATGTACCTACCATCCAGGAGTGGACCGCGGACCAGGCCGAGGGGGGCAAGGTCGTCGGTGTAGACCCCAGCGTCGTCACTGCAGCAGACGCCCGCAAGCTTGCCGACAAGATCAAGAAGAAGGGTGGCGAGTACAAGGCCATCGACGAGAACCTGATCGACCTAGTATGGGGAGACAAAAGGCCAGCCCGACCGAGTGAGAAAGTCATTGTGCAGCCTGAGAAGTACTCTGGAAAGAGCTTCGAAGACAAGATTGAGGACCTGCGCAAGGAACTCGAAAAGCGGAAGAGCCTAGGCTTCGTCGTATCCATGCTCGACGAGGTCGCATGGCTTTTCAACCTCCGCGGCAGCGAGTATGAGCATTCTCTCCCGATCAGAGTACGTCGCTGACAACATGCAGCATTCCATACAACCCCGTATTCTTCTCCTACGCCGTCGTCACGTCCACCGCAGCCACCCTATATGTCGACGAAAGCAAGCTACCCGAAGATGTCAAGAAGCACTTGGGCGACAAGGTTACGATCCGACCATACGAGGCTATATTCGGAGACGTCACGTCGCTGAGCAAGGAGCTGTTCGAGGCCATGGAGAAGACGGAGACACAGAAGAAGTTCCTGACTTCCAACCGAGCATCGTGGGCCCTGAACAAGGCCCTTGGCGGGGACGACAAGGTCGAAGAAACCCGTAGTCCGGTCGGAGATGCAAAGGCAGTCAAGAACGAAGTCGAACTGGAGGGTATGCGTCAATGTCACATCCGTGATGGGGCTGCGCTGAGCGAGTACTTCGCCTGGCTGGAGGACCAACTCATCAACAAGAAGGCCACGCTGGATGAAGTCGACGGTGCCGACAAGCTCGAGGAGATTCGTAAGAAGCACGACATGTTCATGGGTCTTTCTTTTGACACCATCTCATCGACGGGGCCGAATGCAGCTGTTATCCACTACAAGCCTGAAAAGGGTGAGTGCGCGGTTATCGACCCCAAGGCTATATACCTGTGCGATTCCGGAGCGCAATACCGAGACGGTACTACAGACACAACGAGGACCATGCATTTCACGGAGCCGACCGAGATGGAACGTACCGCGTATACGCTTGTGCTCAAGGGCAACATGGCTCTCGAGCGCGTCAAGTTCCCCAAGGGTACGACAGGTTTCGCATTAGATAGTCTGGCTCGCCAGTTCCTATGGCAGGAAGGTCTCGACTACCGTCACGGCACTGGACACGGCGTGGGCTCGTTCCTCAACGTACACGAGGGACCTATCGGAATTGGCACTAGGGTTCAATATTCTGAAGTCTCCTTGGCTGTAGGGAACGTGGTATCTGACGAGCCTGGATACTACGAAGATGGCAAGTTCGGTATCCGCATCGAGAACATGGTCATGGTCCGAGAAGTGGAGACGAAGCACAAGTTCGGTGACAAGCCATTCTTGGGATTCGAGCATGTTACGATGACTCCACACTGCAGGAACCTTGTCGACATGAGCTTGCTTACAGAAGACGAGAAGAGCTTCATCAACGAATACCACAAGGAGGTCTATGAGAAGACGAGCAAATTCTTCGAGAATGACTCTTTGACATTGGAGTGGTTGAAGCGGGAGACAGCACCGTACTAGAGGCTTAGGGTGCCAGCATTCTGAACAGCGCTTTTATGCATCGCAAGGTAGTTTTCGGTATTGGCACGGCATTGGCATACTTACAGCGTTAGTAGTGTATACGGCGACATGCATGGAGCCTGGCGTTTCCACCGTCTATCAGGGTCCAGGGCCGGCTACTGCCCCACTCGGCCCGAAATCACATCAGATGACGGGACAGCTTGTACCATTCTCAGCGACAGCACTACATAACCAAATGAAACCATTCAAATCCTCTGACTAAGCCGACGGCAATTCACGGCCATGGATCGCACTTTCCCGACGGCTGATTGGCGCAGATGCATCGCGTGTGTCAAAGGGCGCATAGCGGGGTCTAGATGTCCCTACGCCGCCGCGGAACATGGCGGGGCAACCTCCGAGCTGCGAAGGCGGGATGGAGGGACCTTACAAAGGCAAAAAAATATTGCGATTCCGCGGGTACATGTACAGGTAATACATCGCGGACGACTTTGACTCACGATCTTACCTTATTTTCCTCCCCTTAGACTTTAATACCTCATCGTCTGTGAAAGTACCTTACTCTACTACACTACTAATTGACCCGATCTTACTTTACTCTTACCTTACCTCCGACATCTATTCGAGTTCCTCCGATCAGAACCCACGATACTTCACAATGGCAACTGAACTCCCCACCACAAACGGCCACGGCGCGCAGGATGGCGAGAACAACTTTGCCGTCAAGGCCGGTCTGGCACGCATGTTGAAGGGCGGAGTCATTATGGACGTTGTTAACGCCGAGCAAGTAAGTTTCGTCTTCTCCAAGCTCACTACGCGGTGCTTTGGGTAACGCGACCAATTGCTAACCAATGTCTCCCCACAGGCACGGATAGCAGAAGAAGCCGGTGCATCAGCCGTCATGGCCCTGGAGCGCGTCCCCGCCGACATTCGATCTCAGGGTGGCGTAGCCCGCATGAGCGACCCCAAGATGATCAAGGAGATCATGGACACAGTAACCATTCCCGTCATGGCCAAGGCGCGAATTGGCCATTTCGTCGAATGCCAGGTACATCCAGCACCTTCCCAAACCCACGAAATCATCTGCTAACACCAACACCCAGATCCTCGAAGCCCTAGGCGTAGACTACATCGACGAATCCGAAGTCCTGACCCCCGCCGACGCCATCCACCACGTCTCCAAGCACCCCTTCCGCATCCCCTTCGTGTGCGGCTGCCGCGGCCTCGGCGAAGCCCTCCGCCGCATCTCCGAAGGCGCCGCCATGATCCGAACAAAAGGCGAAGCCGGCACGGGCGACGTCATCGAAGCCGTGCGCCACATGCGCACTGTAAACAGCGAGATTGCGCGCGCAAAGAGCATGTCGGACGAGGAACTGTACTCGTACGCAAAGGAGCTCCAAGTCGACTATGCGCTGCTCAAGGAGACGGCTAAGCTCGGTCGTCTGCCTGTTGTCAACTTTGCGGCGGGCGGTGTTGCGACGCCCGCTGATGCTGCGTTGATGATGCAGTTGGGCTGTGATGGTGTTTTCGTTGGCTCGGGTATCTTCAAGTCTGGGGATGCGGCGAAGAGGGCTAAGGCTATTGTGCAGGCGGTTACGCATTACAAGGACCCCAAGGTGCTTATGGAGGTTAGCATGGATTTGGGCGAGGCTATGGTTGGTATCAACTGTGGTAGCATGGGTGAGGACGAGAAGCTCGCTAAGAGGGGGTGGTAGATATGCGAGGCTGAAGGGGAAGACCCCTTCTGAAGGCGTCTGCAGTTGATATTGGCGTTTTGGATATTTAGCTCGGGCATGGGTTATGAAAATGTATAGAAGAATAAGCTCAACTCGGAATGACGATCAGTTCAACATGAATATCCTTCAGCTGCAAATCGTGGCATACCATTATGCCCTACTGTGCCACAAGGATAGCTGTGCGGATGCTAAATAATTATTGCGACACCTAACTCCGCAACTTTGCAGGTCACGTCATACGGAAAGCCGAGGTTACATGCGGAGTCACAAAGGGTAAATGATGGAGAAAAATGGTTTAACGTTTTGATTGAGCTACCTGCAATCGGTCACAAACGGGCGTATCGAATGCAACGTACAGTAAGCCACCGTAATGTCCATAACCTGCTGGCGCCCAATACAAGGACAATCACAGCATCATGCGCTTTGAAAAATGTCACACCCATGAACTCCGCTGCGCCGGAGACAAAGCCCTTCAACATATGCACCAGCCGGTCCGTATTTGTCCGCGGTCCGTTGACCAATGCGATACGGAAGTAAAGAGGTCAAGCGTACCCAGGCGCGCGCATTTAGCGGTCCTCGGCCCACTCATTCTCGCGGCGGATCTGCTCCTCCTCCTCGGGGGTAAAGTCGTTCTGGATGTTGAACGTCTTGCGGATCTCGTCGGGGGACTTGCCCTTGATCATGTTGGCGACGGTCTTGCAGCCGACGTCGAGGAGAGCCTTGATGTCGAGGTAGTTCGCGGCGAGGATGATCTCGAAGAGCATCTCCTGGTCAACCTGCATAAACTTTTGGTCCCACTCGTCGATGTCGGTCGACTTCTTGCGCGAGTCGGAGTCGTCGTCTTGGGTGGCGGGCGGGTCGTTCTTGTGGTGGCCGCACCACTCGATGACCTTCTTCATGACGGCCTCATTAACCTACGACATGTTAGTGGCTGTTCTTGGTGGAGGTGGGAAGATGAGTACATACGTTAGGGATAGGGATGGACTCTGAGGATTCACCACCGAGATCCTCGAGCAAGTTCTTGATCAGGATGGAGCGCTCGGCGACGGGGCGCTCGACGTCCATCTGGATGCCGTCGGAGGTGGTGATGTTGATCATCTTGACGCCCTCAGGGTTGGTGGTAGCCATTGCGATAGCTGTACTGTGAGGTGTTGAAGGTGGTTGTAGAAGTGGGGTAAGCTGTGGATGGAGTTGAGCGGCAGATGTCGATCGGCCGTTGCGTTGAGAGTTGAGGGAGAATGTGTGTGGGAAGAGCGTCTGGGGCTCGGGTGGGCAGTGATTATATAGGCGCAGGCGTTTTGCTTCCACGTTTGCGCGCTGTGAGGGTGAGAGAGGCAACCACGGTCCAACTCCGCCTCGCTGTTTAAGCTCAGGCGCCAAGCTCCTCGATGGGGCAAGGCGCAAGGCTGCAATCACCAAAGGGACACTGTGGTGACGGGAGAACGCAGGTTGTATGTGCTTTGAACCAGCTTTGTTAGACGGCTTCACTTTGCTGCTTGCTGATTCAAGAAAGACATTGTGAATTGCTGCCCTCTTGTTTGTGGGCCAGCAGCTTGTGCCGTGTTTGCGCTCACTTGAACTTTGGGCGAACCCCCGCGAATGGCACGGAGGATGACTCCACGCCGCACACAGCCGGCAGAAGTTACCAGAATACGGCGTGGATTCGACTCACAGAGGATGATGTCTGGGGCCAATACGACCCGTTCCAGATACCTGTCCTTAGAAGAGATGTACGTTGAGTCCCCGGCGACATCTGTCTGGGTATGGGTGCAAGGACCAGCCAGAGTCGCCAGTGGGCCAAATGCGCGGTGACTCAAAAGGCTACTTGATACATTTCAGTATTGCTCACACCAGAATCGCATCATCAGATCTGCCGCATGAACTTCAACCCCATCTACACGTATCCTTGAAGGGATACCTGGGTACCTGGTCCACTGATGTTGCGCCACGTGACCTTTCTGCCTGCAACGGATCCGCATGCAAAGGCAGCCTAGACAGCCGTGGACAAGTCCGATGCACCATCGGTTGCTGCCACATCGCATCTGATCAGGCCGCATGATAGTCGGCCGATATATCAGCCATGCTTCTGCTCGCCATGTAGTTCGCAGATCGTCACAGTGCACGAGTCGCAAAGCATAACTCACCATTCGCTCTTGCAACCGGCCCCCCTATCCGCGTGCAACTGGTGATTGACGTAGGCCACTAAAACAATTGTTGGCCTCACTTTGCGAAAACAAACACCACAGCGGACAGATATGCGCCTGCTCAACCCCGCCAAACCCCCAAACGACACATCTCGACTTTTGACATCATGTGGCGGCGCGTCTATTTCCTCCTGATCCTGGTGCGCATCTACTTTGCACTATCGCCAAGCTATCTGCACCCGGACGAGAACTTCCAAGGCCCCGAGGTCATTGCCGGTATGTCGCGACACTGTCTGAGTATGCGCCCGTAGCCACGACTGACTTGTATCCAGGACGTGTCTTCTCCTACCCCGTCCACGAGACCTGGGAGTTCACCTCCGAGAACCCCATCCGCAGCACGTTCCCACTATGGCTCGCATACGGCTGGCCCATGTATATCCTGCGCTGGCTATGGGAGGGGTTCGGATATGACGTCTCGCCGTCGGTTGTATACTGGGCGCTGCGCGTACTCATGTTGACGCTGAGTGTCGTGATGGAGGACTGGGCTATCCACGAGCTGGTCGCTTCGCCCCGCGCGCGTCGTGTTGCCGTAATGCTCGTCGCATCGTCGTATGTGACTTGGACGTTCCAGACACATACCTTCTCCAACAGCATCGAGACGCTGCTGGTGCTCTGGAGCCTGGTCTTGATCCAGAGGATAACGGACGATAAGGTGAGTTGTTTCGGTCCGCTCGCCGATCTAGGATATGCGGCTAACGCAAGGTGCAGAAGCGCTCTGGCATCCTGGCCTCTTCCATCCTCGGCTTCGTGGGCGTCGTAGGCATCTTTAATCGCATCACCTTCCCAGCATTCCTGCTTCTTCCTGCGACAACTTTGCTACCCCACTTCAAGCGCAAGTAAGTCAAGCCCGTTGTCATTGTCTTCTGGACCTTCGCTAACATCTGCAGACCATTCTCTTTGGTCTTCCTTGCAACGTTCGCTCTATTCACAGCTTTCCTTGCTATCTGCGTAGACACGGCGTTTTATACCCCCGGCGAATTTACCTTTTCCAAACTCCTCAGCGGCGCCGTCATCACACCTTTCAATAGTTTCCGCTACAACTCGGATTCCGCCAACCTTGCCCAGCATGGCATACACCCACGATACCAACATTTCCTCGTCAATCTCCCTCAACTCCTCGGCCCGGCGGCACCACTTCTGTTCTTTCTGCGCAGGGCGCATATCTCTATGATTCTCATATCAGCCATATCTGGCGTCGCACTTCTCAGCATCTTCCCACACCAAGAAGCACGATTCTTACTTCCCGCCGTACCATTAATACTCTCCTCGATACGTCTACCAACTCCGCGCATTCGAAAGGGCTGGATCGTTACTTGGGTAGTCTTCAACGTTGCCTTAGGTATCCTGATGGGCGTATATCACCAAGGTGGCATCGTCCCAGTTCAGATGAACATTGCCAAGACGAACGAGACAGTTTCCAATGCGTTCTGGTGGAAGACGTACAGCCCGCCAACATGGCTACTGAATGGCAAGAACGAGGAGCTCAAGACTGTCGATCTCATGGGCTGCCCAGCCGAACAAATGATCGAGAAGGTTAAGGAAGCATTACCCCCTTGTCGGACACGAAAACCACCAAAGGTCGATCGGGGCTCCGTCTACGTGGTAGCACCGCGATCAGCACATGCTTTGATACCATATCAAAGCCCAAGCACTTCAAAAGACGTCTCATTAGAGGAAGTCTGGAGCTATCGACAGCACCTGAACCTCGATGACATGGACTTTGCCGACGACGGCATCTGGAATACCATTAGCCGCGTCGTCGGCGATCGGGGACTGGTGGTCTGGCGAGCAACTCGGAATTGCTGGTCTACGCCTGAATGAGCAAGAGAGGTCGCATTTAAGAAGACATCTCGTTGGTCTGATATTTCGGAGTCGTGGCACAAGATGCCAAGAATTTGGCAGCGCAAGCTGAATGTCGATTTGTTTCCTTCTTGACTTCTGCATATATACCCATCACACTTCTTCCATAGCTCCTCTTAATGTTAATAAAGTAAAATGTTCAATCACCCAAGTGCTACGTCCTTTGGCCGTGCTCTGCGCAAAACATCGCAGTTTCTGGTACATAGTGATATACATACATTCCGCAGTCCTCCTCACAAAGCACCACCCAACACCCTAACAGCCCACATCGCCATCCTAACGTCCATTCCAACCTTCCTCTCCGGCTTCTCAAACTCCTTCTCACCCACCTCCCTCGCATGTTCCCCCAACCATCTAACCTCCTCCCCCAACCTCTTCCTCAGCCCCGGATCCTCGGTCGCAATAACCACATTAGCCTCAAGATCCAACTCATACGCCCTCTTCGTATAATTACTACTCCCGATAACCGTCAGACTGGGATCTTCCTTCTCCCCTCCTCCGCTGGCAGAAGGAAACGTAACCCACAGCCCCTTGGCATGATACGTCCACCCGCCCTCCTGGCCCACCATACCCTTCTTCCACTCTTTGAGCACGATGCTCTCGCTGAGGCCTTCATGTTTTACTTTCCGCAAGAAGGATTTGGCGAGGTGTGTGTATGCGGCTGGGAGCATGCCGCTTACGCCTTTGGAGCCGTAGAAGCCGTTGGCGTGCGGGTGGGCGGTTAGCACTGTGCCGGAGGCGGGGCGGGTGGAGAGGAGGAGGCGTCGGAAGGAGGGCGTCATGTTGAAGTAGCCGGCTGTGAAGGTCCAGGACGAGTTTTGTAAGGGGGGTGTGGTGAGGTGGGTTAGGATTTTTGTTAGAGCGGGGAGTTCGGTTGAGGAGGGGAGGAGGGGGACGAGGGAGAGGATGGGGTAGATTGTTGTTTTTGAGGTGGAGGGTGAGGGGGGTGTGGTGGTTGGGGAGTTGGATGGTAGCAGGAGGTGGGCGAGGTGTTTTTCTGCGCCCGCTTTGTAGTTCGAGGGTGAGTCTAGTGGTGAGGGCGCGGCGTTGGTTGTTGGCCAGGTCATGGTGTAACCTCCGCTTCCCTCTTGGTTGCTTGGCTGTATGTCGAAGCTCAGTTTGGCAACGCCATCGTGTATCCTCTTGAAGTAGTCTGTTAGGTCTTTTGACTTGAACAAGTGGTACCGATCCTGTCGATTCGTGAAGTAATCTTCACTCAGGTTTGCACCAGACATGATGATTTCATCATCTATGCCGTACAGTTTCATGTGCTGCAGACCCCAGCCTTCGTTGATGCGTTTTGGGATGTACTTCTTTCGCAGACCGGTCAGGTTGGGTGTATGGTACATGCGCACTTCTACGCGGTCTGAGCCGAACTCGGAGATGAGAGGTGTCATGAGAGAGGCAGTTGAAGGGTTTGGTGTTTCTCTGGTTCCGCGAAGAGCGTCGGTGAGGAAAGAGACCTTGAGATTGGGGTTCCGTTGAAGAGCATCTCGGATAGTTGAGATGAGTTCATGTTCGGTCTTGCCGATGTAGAGTGTCGATAGATAGACCCGGTATTGAGCTTTGGATATTTTGTCCTGACTCCGTTAGTACGAAGTTTCATCACCACGAGCACGCTTGCTCACAGCACCTCCGTCCCTCTAGTCATTCATTGGAGATGAATTGTTGCGATAAAGTTCGCAGATACGGTACAAGGGCAGAAGGATATAGGCATGGGAAAGTAGTATGCTCCTTGGAAGAATGACAGATAGTAAAGAAGCACTCTGATTGAAACATGAGATGAATGTCGTCTTGTAAGAGTTGAACGTTCCAATAGAGAAACAGAACAGAAGAGTGAGTAGGAAAATGACAACAACAAAGACCGACCTACCTTCAATGTTTGATAGAACTCAGCAGGCGTTTGGAGAATCTCAATCTGATCTGGCTGAATCTCAAATCGCGGCGCAATCTTATCCAAATCCGTCGTTATCGTGGCAAGCATAGACGCTTGGCTCTGAGGCACAGGTGCAGCCATCTCAGCACTCGAGGTAGAATATCTTCGCGTTGTCCTGAATGCCCGAGTGGGGATGCGGAAAGTTCTCCTCCCCGCGATCTTCGGTGCTTGGGCGCGTAATAAGCTTCTTATTATCATGTTGACCACTCGCTATGACGCCGGATGCTGGTATGTGCTTCGACTCCTGAAGTTTTGATGCACTTGGGGGTTGGGCGACAAGGATCACGCTCGCGCTAGCATGCATTGGGAAAGGCGTGAGAGCGGTGCTTGGCATCGTCAATCGCGAAGCAGCAACATCCGACAAGCATCACGAACGCTGAATTGACCAAACGCCGCCATGTCGACGCTCATGAGAACGCTGCGCAACCTGCGCCGAGTTGGACTTAAGGTAATCTTCAATACCTGCAGTAATTTACATGGCAATGCTAACACGTCCGCAGGAATATGGCCACCAAATGGCGGTACGCTCGCATCCCCGCGCCCTCACCTTACATCGCAGATAGACTGATCGAGTCGCCCGCACGCTTAGAACATCGGTATGCCTGGACACAAATAAATCGCAATGTCAAGGGAGGGGCTAATGGGGGACAGGTGACACCAAAGCCGGAACCTTGATCGGCCAGGACAAGTACGGCAACAAGTACTTTGAGAACTTGGAGGAGGAGCTTCCTCGTAAGATTCGCGCATCTCAAAGATGAAGGCATATCTGACTGGCATAGTCCGAACCCGCTGGGTCGACTACAAGGACCATGAGTTCGATCCGTATGTTGCAACGAACGTGGAGACATGGAGCAAAACTAACGTGCGTAACAGCTCTCAGATCGAACCCGGATGGTATGCTACCGCACCAAAAATCGCGAAATACGACTTTGGGAAGAACATACATCTGACTTTCTGCACAGGCACGCCTGGATGTCATACATGGTCGACAAGTCACCAGCCGCAGACCCGCTTCTGCAGCGCCAAGTCCGCGTCTGGGAGCCAAAGGAGCACAGGCCGACTCTCACATGGACTCGCTCAGGATACAAGCCTTACAGCACGTAAGTTCCAGACTGCGACATGGGCAGATCAGGTACTAACCGACGATAGCGTCAAGCCCAAGTACTCTCCATGGACACCCGTCGCCAAGGCTCGACAGTAGACGCGTTTTCCATACCAAGCATTGTATATATTCCGAGAAGCAATCAATGTTCCACATGCTGTCATTTCCATCCACTTCCAATACTCAGAGTCCCTCCATCAACATAGGAAGCACAATCTCCTTGTTAAACTTCCAGAGCGCGCTGCTATCAGAAGCTCGAAACGTCGCCCCGCTCCAATACGTGCTCCTCAACCCCTGTAGCGCGTTCATCTCGTCATAAATGCCAGCTTTTATGTCGTCAGGTTTAGCTTGCAGATAGAACGGCGCATGTGATGTATACACCACGAACTCTGGTTCCGTCGCCTCAAACTTGTCAGCATTTGCTGTTTGCAGTCTCTTGATTGCCGCAATCATCTCTTCTTTGACGAAGTCATCAGAGAGAGGGTATGTCGCATTCGACTGTTGAGAACCGTAGTAGATCGCTTTGACCCCAGGAATAGCGGTTGGCGACATGATATAGACACCCGGCAGCGCAGGGAGGTTGTACAGGGTGTCTGGCGCGCGATTGTAAAGGTTTAAATCGTCTGGGACACCCGTGTTCTTGACCAAAGCAGCGTAATACCCAACATCGATAAGTTTCCCAAAGACCTCACGTTCCTGCCTCCGTAGATCGAAACGTGCAAGCAGATCCACACGCGGCGGAATGGTGATGAGAAGCTTCTTCGCGCGTACCAACTTGACGCCATCGGGCGTCTTGACAACGAGTTCCACGCCCCCCTTCCTCCGTACCGAACGCACGACTTCAGAAGACAGCAACAAGCTATCCGAATCAAGGAGCTCAGCCTGCGCTTTCCCGTACAACTCGCTGTTATTGCGGTGAGCTGTGGTAACAAGACTACCGGAAGCGAGTTGCTGGACCAAACCCAACCCGTTGACACGGGCATTCTCCACTACGGGCACACTGAGTATATCCCCGATACCCTGGTTTGTACTAAACAATGTCTGCACCAAGGCTTCGAGACCGAGTTTGGTGACGAGGTCGCCGAACGGTATGGTCAGGTCTGTCGGGACGGGGCTGGGGAGGAACATGCCGCTTTCCAGCTTGGGGTATTGGGCTAAGAACGCGGCGTACTTCTGGAGTCCAGCGCCTAGCTCTTCTACACTTGGTGCGCTGACGTTGACGGCTAGACCAGTGCTGAAGTCGTAGTTCGCGTCATTACCAGCGAATTGAGGGGGTGCAAGTGGAATGTCGAAGCGGGCGAAGTAGTCAAGGACGGTACTCTCATTATGATAGACTAGCACGCCGTAGTCTTGAGCGAGACCGGTTGCTGGGTCTGTGTAGGTTTCTGTGTGGCCGCCTAGCCGGTTCTTGATTTCGACCACGATGACGCTTTTGTTGGCGTCTTTGAGCGTGATTGCGGCGTGCGTGCCGGAGGAGCCGCCGCCTATGATGGCTACGTCTCGGGTTATGATGGCGCTGGGATGGAAGGATGAGGGGTGGTGTTTTGGGGTGGTTGAGATGGCGGGGGATGTGAGAAGGGATGCTAGAAGCACTGTTGCTGAAAGTGTGGGATGCATTTTCGAAGAGCAGGGTGTTGCCTTTCTGAACAACAGTATCATTGAGAAATATGTGAGACTATATACTACAGTGTCCAGCCCGTATTATCGCGAAAGTGGATCTGTCGGCTTCCTGGTGAACATGTCGATTCGTAACCTACCGTTTGTAGACCGCGTAGACTCCCGTCACAGTGGAACGAATGCAGCAGCCCGTATCAAAGAACACAAGAGCCTTCGCAAACAAATCAAGTCCCAACAGTCAAGCCCGGTGTCAGCGCAGCAAAGCCTCCATATAATGTAATCCAATGCCTTTTGCAGGAGAGAGAGAAGCCATAAAGCATGTCAGCGTCGAGATTCAAGTAGGCGTATGCGCGCCCTCTTATGTATGGCTTGCACTCTAGCAGCCGACTCGCATTTGACATGGAGTTGAGGATCTGTAAGCTTTCTGACAGGTCGGCATAGGCTTGAGGCGTTATGTGTGGCGTCCAGTGACAGCAGCCTCGAGTTGAGATCGTCACGCATTGACTGTATCCGGCGATTTCATGTAATTCTCGATGGAAGGCGGACTGCGTGCTTCAATTGACCGGTGTCTAGAAGCTCGAAGGCGCCTAGGCGAATGAAGCGTGTAATAAGCTGTCATAGTGTCAACATGGGCAAAATGCAAAACATGTCGGTCTCCAGCCCCGATCAATGGCATTGTACACGCACTATCGTAAACATGAGGGAGGGCAACGGCTGTTTGTTAGGTGATAAGGTTTCGAAGAGTACGTGGGCAGGTTGTGTTGTTTGACTGCCGCCCAACGGGCTGCTGGAACCAGGCTGCACAGCAACTGAGAGAGTCTGAACGTAGGTTGACAAGACAGCCCTGAGTGTCTGCGTCGAAACAGATATCAACTATCTCGATTGGCGCGAGATCGTCAACTGTGATCCCCGATAGAAGTTGATTACCTAGGTCATGCCGCGACACTACAGCATACCACGTGCCTCATCGTACCTTCCTGTTCGACGCTGGAGGATTGCCGTCTCTTGGGTAGGAAATTATCCCTATCGCCATCAAAATAACCTCTGAACTGCGTCGCTCAACACGGTTTGTCGTTCTAACCCAGAACAATTTCTCGCGCATGCGAACTTGGTACATTGTGTGATTGTAGATAGACACCTGTGTCACAGTGGCGGCACCAAATTTTTGCGCTCCAACTGAAATGCTTCAAGGACGTTCCTGGTATGAATAGAGCGAAGATTGCGGAATCAGGCCGTTTTCACATGTCGCAGGACTCGAGCGTTGCGCGGCGTTCAACGCTGTGTTCTCTGGCCAAGTCGTTGGGCGCGCCAGGGGAAGCGGCACCTGCGCAGATGGCGCCAGCAGATAACTTGGGGCGGCATGTGTGTGCGAGTCTCTCACCGACTTTGAGGCTGCGCCTAACGACGGGCCTATTGGCAATGTCAGCAACGTTACAGGTGGTGTGCACGGCAGACGAATTGGTAAGCTGTGGGGAAGCTAACGCCTGGTCCCACTTGCCCTTAGCCGCGGAGGTGCTTGCAGCCATCACAGTACCCCGGACATCTGGACTTTGCCATGTCCGGCAGCCCGCGATAGAGCTGCTGTCGGTATAGGAAGGTCCATTGTGACTCTATACGACTCGTTATGACTCTTCTCGACTCTTTTACGCGTTCGGTGTAATTCCTTGGTGCTTATCGGCCTCTACACCCAGGGCGAACGTGAGGCTCTTTCGCATGGGCCGTCAGTAGCCTGCGCCAGCAACCACGGCCTGCCTGGTAGTGAAGAGAAGCATCAGGCAAGACATGGCGCGAAGACCGACGCAGTTAGCAACGTGCCCAATACTGGGTTGCACCGACGACACGACCGATACCTCCAATCTGGAAGCGGGAGACGTACGGCACGTATCAGCGCGCCCTCAACCGGTCCTTTCGCCCTTGACGCTGTTGTTACGAACTCATCCGATTATGACTCTTCGAAACTTAATGGAGGCGGTCAATATGTGAGCGTACGGTAGTGTGAAGCTGCATAGCGGCAGAGCGCGACAAAAGCCGTGAGACGGATGCATGGCCTGCTCTGTGACACATGCGCATCGGTGCATCTGCTGCACAACCATGTCACCTTGAGTCAAGCGGAAACCAACCCTGTCAAACAATACGTCGTGACCGTCTAGCTCGCGCTGTGAGACTGCTTGCTATATCCACACCAGCAGCCACGGTGACGGTTCGATAGAGTAGTTTGCGACCGCTCGCTGTGGCTCGTTGCACCCGTCCTTACATTGGGCCGGTTATCTGATCTGCAGCTATCTTATCTGATCCCAGCATCTCGGTTACACATCGGCAGCAATATCTAATTACATCATTTGTCGGTTCGGGCACGCGCGCGTGAACGTCAGTGCGGATCTGGAAAAGCTCTTGCGGCAAGTGGAAGCGCAAACCGAAGAAGCAGTTCCTCTCCTCGCAAACCACCCTATCCTGGACGCAATCGCTGAAGGCCCCCTGCCGCCGTTTGTTTACTTCGGCGCAATCCAGCAGAAGGCGCGAATACACCCTCCGGTCCTTCCTTTAGTCCCAATGCGCCTCAACAGCCGTCAATAGCGAGTGCGAGTGCTGGAGGTTTGAACACCACCACAGGTCACAACAGGTCTCGTACAACTGCGGCAGACGACATGTTCGCCCACTGTAGAGGCCCGTTCTGGGGCAGAGACGACTTCTCGAGGTGTTTCGAGCAAGAGTAGGTGCTTTCTTTTACGTTGCGCCACGACGCGATGTCTCAGATGCCACTGCAGCCGTCCGATAGGCGATGCGCCACCACGAACGACCACTCAGCTAACACGTCGCAGCTATCTTCAAACACTATTCCCTCTCATCGTATGCGGAATATCCGTCGTTTACTTATTGGTGCAACTCTACTTCGCCGCCACCGCGTCCCGATATTACCACGCCTACAGTGTCCTCGAAGACCCCGCCAATGTCTGGTCCTTCCGCAGTCCTCGCTACGATGGCGACGAACCCTACGAGGATGCCGAAGACGACCTTGACCGGAACGAAGATCTCGCGCTTCATGCCGTCAACACAGTCTCCACCATGGCCGTAGACAAACCCCGCGGAGAGCTCACGGTCGTCATACTCGAGGAAGTGGCGGTACTGGCCCAGCTGGCACTTCATGTCGCTGTGCTGGTGACCGGTGTTTGGGGCAGGCACGGCAAGCTTGCGGCCATTGCCAATGTTGCTGTTTGGGCCTACATCGCCACCCTGGCTTCGCTGCGATTGCTGTTCTCCAGCACCAGCAGATTCTCGTTTCCCAAGCTGTGGTACCACACTGCCTTCATTTACGGGTTCCAATGGGTCTTCAGCGTCCTCCTTTTTCGGTCCGCCATCATCCACCCGCGATCGCCTTTACACCGGAAGCTCATGATTGGCGATTTCGTCCTCGTCTCGCTACTGTTCCTCATCTCTCTGTGCTCCAGGAAAGGCAACAAGGCGGTGGAGCTAGAGTATGAAGGCGACATCGCGCCAGCCCGGGAACCTATCGCCAGTGTTTTCTCGCTTGCCACTTTCAGCTGGGTCGATCCGATCGTGTGGACAGGATACAAGAAGACATACGAACTTACCGATGTCTGGAATCTGCCTTCCAAGGACAAGGCTGCAGCTGTCATCGCGAACTATCGTCAGGTCAAGAAGACATCCGGCTTGGCCTACCATCTTTTGAAGCACTTCAAGCGTGGTCTACTCATCCAAGCAGGCTGGGCCGCCATTTCTGGTTTCCTCACTTTCGCGCCGACACTGCTTCTCAAAGTCATTCTTGAATACGTTGAGAAGCCCGAACAGACCCCCGCCAATGCCGCCTGGTTCTACGTCATACTACTATTCGTTTCAGGCAGTCTATCTGCACTTGCTGACGGCCAAGCGCTGTGGCTCGGTCGAAAAATCTGCATCCGCCTACGCGCTGTCATCATTGGAGAAATTTACGCCAAAGCCCTCAAGAGACGAGCAGCAGCTACCACCGAGAAGGCCTTGGGCGAGGAAAAGAAGAAGCAGGAGAATGATGAAGAACCCAAGGGATTGAAGCGCATCTTTACCTTTGGCAAGAAGAAGAAGGCGACTGGAGCCTCGAAAGAAGACGAAGCATCGAAACCCGAATCTGACGCTCAGGTCACTACCGGTGCCATCATCAACCTGATGGCTGTCGACGCTTTCAAAGTCAGCGAGATCTGCGCTTATCTACACTTCCTCTGGGCGAATACCCCAGTCCAAGTTGTTGTGGCTGTCTTCTTGCTCTACCGTATCCTGGGTTACAGCTCGATTGCCGGTATTGGCATGATGGTTTTCTTGCTCCCAATCAACATGTATGTTGCGCGACAATTCTCCAAGATCCAGAAACTCATTCTCGCGGCCACCGATGCCCGTATCCATACCACCAATGAGGTTCTCACCAACATCCGGATCATCAAGTTCTTCGCTTGGGAACAACGCTTCATTGGTCTGGTCAACGAAAAGCGGTACATTGAGCTCAAGCATCTGCGACGGAGATACATTCTGTGGGCGGTAGCAGCTACGATATGGTCGGGCTCGCCAGTCTTAATCACGTTCTTGTCCTTCCTCGTGTACACGAACGTCGAACATAAGGCGCTCATTCCATCTGTCGCATTCACCGCCCTCTCGCTTTTCCAAATTCTGAGGATCCCGCTGGACCAGCTCGCAGATATGGTTGCCCACGTCCAAGAATCCAAGGTCTCAGTCGATCGTATTGAGGAGTATCTGTCTGAGCCCGAGACGGACAAGTACTCGCAGCTTGTAACTCAGAAGAAGGACGAAGACGGTCAAGCCATTATTGGATTCGAGAACGGTACATTCAGTTGGGGCGGAACAGACATGGCAGACCAGGCCTCGGCAGATGCCTTCAAGCTGATGGACCTCAATCTAACTTTCCGTGTCGGCAAGCTCAACGTTGTTGTTGGACCCACTGGCTCTGGAAAGACCTCATTGCTCATGGGCCTGCTTGGTGAAATGACAAAGCTCAAGGGCAGTGTCTACTTGCCTGGTGGACTAAGCCGAGAGGATCTGACTCCCGACCCCGACACTGGACTCACTGACAGTATAGCTTACTGCGCCCAGCAAGCTTGGCTTGTCAACGGTACGGTGAAGGACAATATCGTATTCGCAAGTCCTTTCGACCAGAAGCGCTACGACGAGGTTATCGAAGCCTGCTCTCTGAAGCGAGATCTCGAGATTCTTGATGCTGGAGACGAGACGATAGTAGGAGAGAAGGGTGTCACGCTCTCCGGAGGCCAGAAACAGCGTATCTCACTGGCCCGTGCGTTGTACAGCAAGGCTCGTCACGTCCTTCTTGACGATGTTCTGAGCGCTGTCGACGCCCATACTGCCAAATGGATCTTCCATTACGCACTTCACGGACGACTCATGGCCAACCGAACTTGCATCCTCGTTACACACAACGTCAGCCTCTGTTTGCCACACGCAGAGTTTGCTGTTGCACTTGAGAACGGCCGAGTGGTCGCACAAGGTACAGCAGATGAAGTCATCAACTCAGGAAAGCTTACCGAGGATCTTACTAAATCACGGCCCGCATCAAGAGGAGCGTCCAAACCTCCTTCCCAAGAGCCCTCGGATGCTGGTGAAGAGGCAAACGGCGATGCCAATCACGCCAACGGGTCTGCTAATGGCACCGCAAATGGCAAGCCGGACGCTAAGAAGAAGAAGCCAGCCAGCAACAGTCAGGACGAGAAGAAGGCAGAGGGGGGCGTCAAGCTGAGCATCATCACCATGTATCTTCGAGCTATGGGCCCCTGGTACTACTGGCTTGGTGCTACCATTGCTTTTGTAGCTGCGCAAATCTCTTCGGTATCTACCAACCTCTGGATCCGCACATGGGCGAATGCGTACGCTGAAAAGGGCTATGCTGTGGCGAGCAGCCATCACCAATCTCCGGTAACGCACGCTCCAACAATAAGTGGCATGGGAACATGCATGAACAGTGGTACCTGCAGCTGGAACATTCCCTTCTTTACACAACCGGAGCAGCAGTCATACGCCTACAACACCATGCAGACTACCTTCAGTAACCCGAACCCGGACGTCAACTCTGCATACTTCCTCAGCGTTTACGCCGTTCTTGGACTCATCTTCATGTTCATCACCTTCTTACGAGAAGGATTCCTCTTTGGAGGGTCTCTCGCTGCATCCAAACGCATACACGAACGACTCATTCAGAAGGTTACGCATGCGAAGTTCCGCTTTTTCGATCAGACACCACTCGGTCAGCTCATGAACAGGTTCTCCAAGGACATTGAATCCGTCGACCAAGAGGTAGCGCCAGTCGCCATTGGTGTTGTTCATTGCTTCGCTTCCATCATCACGATCGTCATTCTTATCTCGATCATTACTCCTGGCTTCTTAATAGCGGCCTTCTTCATCTCCATCCTCTACTTCCTCATCGGTCGCTTCTACATCAACTCGTCCCGCGACCTGAAGCGATTGGAATCTGTACATCGAAGTCCGCTGTATCAACAGTTTGGTGAGACACTATCCGGCATGACGACTATCAGAGCCTACGGTGACGAACGCCGCTTCATCCGCGAGAACTTGGCGAAGATTAACACTCAACATCGTCCGTTTATCTATCTCTGGGCAGCGAACAGATGGCTCGCGTTCCGAGTGGACGTCGTCGGTGCCATGGTCGCCTTCTTCTCCGGAGCTTTTGTTGTGCTCAGCGTTGGGCGTATTGATGCAGGTGCCGCGGGTCTCGCGCTTACCTATGCTGTTACCTTCACCGAGAACGTCTTGTGGTTCGTTCGTCTCTACTCTGCTAATGAACAGAACATGAACTCGGTCGAGCGTGTCAAGGAGTACCTCGATGTCGACCAGGAAGCTCCATCTGTCATTTCAGAGAACCGTCCACCATCCAACTGGCCGAGCAAGGGATCCGTAGAGTTCATCAACTACAGCACGCGATACAGGACTGACTTTGACCTTGTTCTGAAGGACTTGACCTTCAAGATCCTTCCCGGTGAGAAGGTCGGTGTCGTAGGCCGAACGGGTGCCGGCAAGAGTTCAATGGCACTTGCCTTGTTCCGGGCGTTGGAGGCTGAGAAGGGCAAGATCTTGATCGATGACATTGATGTTGGTACGATCGGCCTGCACGATCTGCGGGAGAATGTCGTCATGGTACCGCAAGGTAGGCACATCTTTATATCTCATTAGGGTGGAACAGATGCTGACACAACACAGATCCGACACTTTTCACAGGCACTATCCGAAGCAATCTCGACCCCTTCTCTATCTTCACTGATGAAGAGATCTACACCGCCCTTCGCGAAGTCAACCTGATCTCTACTCTATCACGCCCCGCGTCCGGCTCTGTCACTCCTACTGGAGCAACCACCCCACCTCGCGCTGTCCAGATTCCCGTTCCGACAACAAACGCTGTGACAGCGGATGTCAACGGCAGCTACTCAGCCGCGACTACAAACCCGGGATCCATTCTGGCGAACCGCGACTGGGAGCGTGGTGAGACACAAGAAGACACTGTCGTGGTCATGCCTGATGGTCGTACTGCGGACCGCGACGATGTAGCGGCACAAGCTGCTATGGAGGCCGACAACAAGAACCCATTCAAGAACCTCAACTCGCTGGTGTCGGAATCCGGGTCCAACCTGTCGCAAGGTCAACGCCAACTTCTGTGCCTAGCGCGAGCGCTGCTGAAGGCACCCAAGGTTCTACTGATGGATGAAGCCACAGCATCCATCGACTACGCCACCGATGCGAAGATCCAAGAAACCATTCGTCAGATCAAGAACACCACCATCACGATAGCGCATCGTCTCCAAACGATCATCGACTACGACAAGGTCCTTGTTCTGGACAAGGGTGAGGTCATCGAGTACGGCCATCCCTACGATCTTGTTCGAAAAGATGGCGGTTCATTCCGATCCATGTGTGAAACCAGTGGCGAGCTAGAAACCTTGACCACTACCGCAAAGACAGCCTACGAATCGAAAGCTACATGAGCTGCCGGATAGAGATCGCAGCCCCTGCCGTACGGCCGAAGGGTCTTGGGATGAGAAGGGAGAGTCAAATTTAGACGGAGTTGGAGAACAAAAAGCATGTGATCAAGACGGTTTTGCATGAGCGAGTCAGCATTTTTCCTTTCTGTTTCATCGTCGCGGCGTATGCCAGGGCCTATGGGTGGTTACCTGCTCCTAGTGTACATATAATTATGTCTAATCGGCTCCGTATGGACCGCATAATCGACACATTGACACGTCAACCTAGGAAAAAAACTAAAACCTTGGAGCCTACATGGAGATAAAAATATGTAAAGTAGGTGGCCCAAGGTCAACGTATGCTCCAGGGTGTTCAGCCTTTCGATTGTATGAGGTGTTGACGTACCACTGATCAGCGAACATTTGTGAATTGGCCGCTATTGTCGAGCGGAGATGCATTTCGGCTCCATCCAGAATGATGACACTTCACGTCAGCCTAGGAAAACACTAAACACCCTAGAGCCTACATCAAGATAAAAACATACAAAGTAGACGGTCCAAGGCCAAAGTAGGCTCCAGGGTGTTCAGCTTTTCCATTATATGAGGTGACTTGGGTAAGCGGTGCTCGTCAGCATGTACATGTCAGCCACAGAGATCAAATATCGGATCTTGGCGGATCTGACAAAACGCACCAACTCAACGACCACCGATCAGTAAACAGAAGCAAAGGCTGAACGTGTGTTATTCAGCCAATGCTACTACTGCGTTCCATCAACAGACATTAATCGGTCAGCAAAAAGTGCATAATACGCCGTCGGGCTTTGTGGCTTTCCCTCAGGTACCAATCACGTGGCCGAGATCCCGCCGCTTTCGGATCTTACTTGCCTTGTCCGGCGACTTATCAGCCTTTCGTCATGCAACTTTCTCTGGTGTATGAGTATTCGCTCGTTGATGTCTAATGGCTTTTGCTGACTGTAGCGGTGATTTGTCGTGGTTGTAGATGGCTTTCCAGTGCGTTGGCTGAATGAGAGGAGGGGAGCAGAGCCGCTTGATGATTAGAATAGATGGTATCGTGTGTAAGTATAAAGAGGGTGTTACACCGGAAAAGTTCGAGTAGCCTTTCTGATAGTATCGATTTTTTGAAATCCCGTTCGCGTACCTGTAAACCATGGAGACAATCAAGGAGATCGTCCGCGACGCGCCTTTTGGCCAACTCGTCCGTTACGCAACACGCAACCGGTTCTTCAAGTATCCAGAAGAGCTACCCGGTTTCGAAATCCCATCTGCATACACCGACGTCGAGAAACTTCCCTCCCAAACCCCAGGAGTTGAAGGGACTTCGACACGCAACTCAACCTCAACCATCCCACTTCCATCGCACGCTCTCCCTTTCAGCCCCTCACGCCTCGAAGCCGACCTAGCCCTCCATGCCACCCACTCACCCGTCCACTCAATCGCCCCCGTCAAGACAGCCGACGGCCTCATACTAGCAGAGTGGTACACCACGACCGACACTGCGAACCCACAGAACTGGTCGCAGGGCAAGAAGGCATGGACTGCGTTCTTGATCTGTCTGTATACGTTCATTGTGTACGCGGGTAGCTCCATCTATGTTAGTAGTACGTTGTTGGTTATGAGTGAGTTTGGGGTGGGGGCGTTTAAGGCGAGCTTGGGGTTGGCGCTTTATGTGCTTGGTAAGTTTTTCTTCGGTGATGAGGGAGGCTGCGAGATGGGACGGATAGCTAACGGTGTGTAGGATATGGCATTGGTCCATTGTTGTTTGCGCCGTTGAGTGAGGGTATGTGGTATCCTCTCCTGCCCTTCTTCATCGGATGCTCGTCCCGTGTGAGGAAGTTATCGCGTACGTAGGCCTTGCTGACAGCTCATCACAGTGCCGCAACTCGGCAGAAACATACCGTACATCACGACTTTCGCGCTCTTCACCATCCTCACTTTACCTACCGCATTGGTAGACAATCTCGGCGGCTTCCTGTTCCTCCGTTTTCTGCTTGGCTTCTTCGGAAGCCCCTGTCTCGCAAACGGTGGAGCTACGATGCAAGACTTGTACTCTCTGCTACACATACCATATGGTCTAGCTTTCTGGACAGCAGCTGCATTTGCGGGGCCAGCTCTCGGGCCTCTTTTATCTGGCTTTTCCGTCTATGCGGAGGACTGGCGATGGTACGTCTTTCCGCTTTGTTGATTTAGTCTTCCCCTTTGCGCGATGCTGACTAGACCCGTGTTCAGGTCTCAATGGGAGCTCCTCTGGATGGCCGCCCCGGTCTTCCTCCTCTTTTTCTTCTTCCTCCCAGAGACGCAGCCTACCACCATCCTTCTCCACCGATCTGCCCGTCTACGCGCACTAACCGGTAACCCCAATATCCACACCCAAACTGAGATCGATCGCAAAGGCACCAAGTTCTCCGCAACACTCCTCGATACTCTCATCAAGCCTTTGGAAATCTGCGTCAAAGACCCCGCTCTATTCTTCATCAACGTTTACTCCGCGCTGACCTACGGCATCTACTACTCCTTCTTCGAGGTCTTCAATATGGTGTATTTGGAGATATATGGGTTCAGCGTCGGCGAGATGGCGATTGTGTTTCTGTCCATCATCGTGGGGTGCGTTCTTGCTATGACGATTTACTTTTCCTATCTGAGGTTCTACCTCATACCGGATATCCTCAAGCAAGGACTGAGACCCCAAGAGCATAGACTCGTGCCGGCGATTTTCGCGAGTTTTGGGGTACCGATTGGATTGTTCATCTTTGGTGAGTCTGATCGCGTGACTAGAATTGAGATAACGAGTGCTAATAGCGATTTTGTGTGGGCTGGACGGCTCGTGAATCTGTACATTGGATTGCTTCAGCTATCGGCATCGCCATATATGCGACCAGCGTGTATATCATCTTCCAGGCTGTCTTTTGTAAGTCATAGCTTGTATCTATGGTGCTTACTGTTCACATCGCTAACGTGTCTTCAGCATACGTGCCCATGTCTTACCCGCAATACGCCGCGTCCCTCTTCGCAGGCAACGACTTCTGCCGCTCTGCCTTCGCCTTCGGATCCGTACTCTTCTCCCGCCCAATGTATCTCAAATTGGGCATAGGGAAGGGAATTAGTCTTCTGGGCGGCTTGAGTGTCATGGGTATTGTGAGTTTGATGAAATCAAGCAAGTCCATGAATGCGCGCTAACTCGAAGTAGATTGGAATGTATCTGATCTGGGTCTATGGTGCGAGGCTGAGAGCGAGATCGAAATTTGCTGTATGAGATGCGAGCGACGATGGTGACGATAGAGATGGATTCAAGTGCGTCATGTGTGGAAGGCTGGGTGGCTGGGTAGCTGCCATCATGTTGGCCTTCAGAAGTTCCGCCGCCCGAGGCCAGGGCGCGCTGGGTGCTTGGGCTAAGCGCAATTTGGACTGGCCCGCACCACGCCCGGGCTCTGCGCCCGGGCGGCTTCCGAGGCCATGATTCTGGGGCATCGCTGGGGAGGTGTTGCGCGTCTTCTATGATATCACCTTACAAGCGTTCTCGAAAGCACCTAATTTATAATATCGTGGTTTTCGTAATATACGGCTTCGTCGCGTTTTCTTGAAATTACGGCTGTTGATGTCGTGGCCATGATCCTAACTATCGAGCAGGAAGCCCACACAGGAGGGCGCAAACGGTATGTCTACGCGTTATCAGCGCAGTGCACAATTATTGCTAACGGTCAATACAGTGCCATGGTATGCACGACGAGACACCGCGCTGCTACGACGCGTCCGCCTTCCTTCTTCCACGCTCTCGCTTTCACCGACGTCAGCCACGATTCCCGATGAAGCCACAGGCATGTCCTCGAATTGAAGATTCTAGAAATAGGTGCATTGCATACCTACTGGCGTATGGGCTGATGCGCTGGTCGTCAGGAGCTCCCCGTGTTAGCGAGACTGCCATTTGCCATGGCTGTGACGCCTACCGAGCGACAGGACATCCATGGATGGCAGGAGTACGCCTGCCGCCACTGATTTCGCCAATGGGATTAATTGCATTTGCCCTGCCTTGCGATGACTTTCCGGTGAGTGCTGGTGCATGTTAGGCCTTATCGCACTACATGAACATATCTCCCGTCAGTTTTACATCGCGCTGTGCACTCTATGGCGCTCTCAATACCGGCTGTGCTTTGACATTGTAGCGCTGAACGCTTTCTACTTACATTCCACATCAACCCCACTCTAGCGCTGGCCATGTCAAGCTCCGTGCCTTCCAATACAGCAGGTAAGTATTCACTGTTCAACAAGCGCACCTTTTTGCTTATGTAGTATTAGAGCACCCATACGTATCTTATTGTAGAAAGTACCTCGAAGATGCCTGTCAGGATCCCTTGTTCAACGCACCGCATCTGAAAGATTCCTGTGATTACCTATCCGAATCTTCAGCGCAATGGCACCCTGAAAGTTACACAGACGGCGCTCGCTTTACTTGGTTATACACACATTCGATGGCCTATGACCTCCAGCTTTCTTCGGAATTTGATCCAAAAGACTATGACCCAATCATGACAGCTACGGAAGTTCGTGAAGATCCGAAGTTGCTCTTCCTTAGTAGTTATCCCTAGGCTGATTTTATGATTCGTTGACCCATGGTGTGATGTTGGTGGTCACGTCACGTCGTGGAGCGAATCGGGCGTAGCGCCTTCCATACGGCAGGTGCGACTAGACTTCATCCAAGCACACCTCACCATCTCAACTACACCATGGCGAATCCGAACGCCTTTACGGATAGGTTGCGTGGAGCAACAAGGCAGACGAGACAGATGGACGATAATGGGGATGCGTGAGTACCTTCGCTCCTTCCTGTTTCTTGCTAACAATATGTAGGAATTCGGTGGCAGATGCAGGTGCGGATGAGCATAGGGAGAGATCAGATGGTGAAGAAGTTGCGACGCCGATGCCGCCGCCTGGAGCACGCCGGCAAGACTTCAGCTCGATCATGAGGGCCGAATTCAACCCCGAAGTGACGACCCCATTCGGTGATGATGGGCGGCGGCAGCAGCACACCACACCACCCCGCGCCAACATGAAAGGCGACCAACTGTGGGTGTTCCTTGCGATAGAGACGAATACGTACGATTTCGAGATGCAGGCGAAAAAGGATGCTGCGCGTGCAAAGCTGGACTTGTTGCGAGAGAAGCGAGAGTTCCTTGCGGCACGAGGAATACGTCATTTTCTAAATAGATACGGAGCAAGCGATGCCGAGGCGTTCCACAAGCTACTTGTCGAATTCGAGGCACAAGTCCGCAGCTTGAAGGAGCTGGCAGCAGAGCTGAAGGGAGAGAGGGAGAAGTGTGGACTGCAGCCAGGGGAAACCATGGTGCAGCGATATGACGAGTTGGCTTTAAGGTTCAAGAACCTCAAAGCCGAGCATGAAGGAGAGGATGGGAAAGGGGGGCTGGTGTTCAAGTACGAAGCTCTCGAGAAGAACCTCAACGAGCTGAAAGAGATGCATGACGGGGGAGACGGCAAAGGAGGGCTTGTTTCAGAGCTTGAGCAGCTGAAGCAAAACCATACGGACTCGACCGGCAGGTACAACGACCTGTCGGAAAAGCACTATGGTAAAGACGGCAACGGGGGTGTTGTTTCAGAGCTTGAGCAGCTGAAGCAAAACCATGGGAACTCGGCCGACAGGTCCGAGCACCTGGAGGAGAGTGACCGTGGGAGCCCTTAGGGCGGCCAAGGAGGACCAGAGATAGCCCGGCGGGATGGAAGAGCAACGGAGAATCGAGGCGATCTTGTGGGAGAAGGTGGCGGGTGAGCGGCAACGTGAGGCGGCCTGGTGGAAGGATGCTGCGAGAAGGGTGGATGTGTCCATAACGCAACGCGACGCCGCGATCCAGCTACTGCGTGGGCACATAGAGAAGACCGGTTAGTAGTCGTGCTGATGAATGCAGAGCGTTTCCATTTCTCTGTTTAGATCTGGGAGAAGCGAAGGTTGTGATAACGCCTGCATGTACTCCCCTCAGCCTGACCCCGCACGAGGCTGGAAAACTTAAATCGTTTTCGCAAATGTAGTGCAATGCCCTGCCTTCGTGATGAACATAGCCTCAATTTACCTTGTGAAGAGTAAGCGCTTTCTTCAATGCTAGAGCCAATGTCGAGGTTCTGATCTTGAATTCAGCTACTACGTATACCATAGGGGTACGTCTTGAGTAATAGGTACTAAAAGATGCGAGCTTCTTAGTACTCATGTCTCTCAACTCTCCAGATCATATAGCAAGCACCCTCCAGTCCTGAAATTATACACGAAAGCCTTTCCTACAGCTCCTTCTCCATTTGTTCCACCTTCGCCCTTATTCTCTACCCACTTCGCTCTATAACCCAGCAGTAAGTCGTGCAGCTCTTGCAGGTATTTCCTCTCAGCAAGCGGCATCTTCTGGATAAAGTAACGCCACGAGTCCGGATCGCTGAGACGCGTCTCCTTGAGCAAGTTCATGACCTCTTCTTTTGACTCGATAGCAGCGATGGGTGCGGATTGAAAAGCGGAAAGGAGATCCGTCGATCGCGATTGTGCGGCTTCAACAATAGACCACTTGTTGCTCTTCTTGGATCGATGTTGGGCGATAAGGACGTCGACGTTCGCTTTTGAAGCATTGGAAGTGTTGTTTGAAGTTGGTAGTGGTGCTTTGATTAGGCGGGCTGCGCTTCCTTCGCGTTCTTCACGGTCTCGGAGTTCGTTGCGCAGGTAGTTCAGGAGATCGGTGCTGCGCAGATCTGTGTCTTCTTTCTTTGCGATGGATTTGACCTTGAGTTCAGGTTTATCAGGGGCGACGCCGTGTTTGATAACGATAACCCAGCTATGTCTGTCTTCGCGATAGTGGCGTAAAATGTCTTCGATGGAGTGCGCATCGACGGCGAGTTCGGCGGTATAGCCATGAGCGATGAGATCTGCTACCATTTTGACGCCAGTGGAGCGGAGAACGTTCGAATCGAAGCTAGCCACTAGACAGTCGCAGCGTCGTGGCATCCAGGAGATTGATGGCGTGTCTTCTTCAGCGTGCTTCCGTAAGAACGTCGACTTCTCAGGTTTCTTGATATATCGACTCATGGAGTTGACGAGTCTATCCCATCCCAGGTTCACACCAACAGCGTGATACGCAGCCGCTGGATGTGCGTGGCTCGAACCTCTCGGACGGTACTCTTCGATCAGCTTATCGTACCGGCCACCTGCAGCAAGCACCTCCCTCTGCTTTGTGTCGAACAGACATTGGAACAGAATACCACCAGAATAGAACTTCTCGTTGAAGCTGCTCAGTACGCTGATGTAGACCTTGCGCTTCACGCCCCACAACTTCATGTAATTGATAACAGAAGTTAGGTGCGCAAAGACGACGTGAGTCCGATCAAGGTACTTGGTGCCCTCGAACAGTCGCCGCAGCTTCGCGAAAGCCTTTTCTGGGGTGTCGCGCCAATCGAAGCGTGCCAGATCATCTAACGATGTTGACGGAATGCCAATGTCGGAGGACCGTAATTCGTTGCGTATCAACTGCCAGTTGTTCTTTCCGATGTTCAGCTTACTAAGGACTGCCTTGACTGCCGCGCGCTTTGGGATACTGATTCTGCAGAACTCCATGATCATATCTAACAGATCTGCGTGATTCAGGTGGAAGCACATCTGCGTTGACCGGAATGAGGGAAACTCATCGATGATTTCATCGACGACCTTGAGAACCTCTGCCTCCTTCAAGGTAAGGTCAAGCGTATCGTATGACAATATATCGAAGTCTGCCTCGCCGTTACTACGTGGAGCACTTCCGGTGTAGTCGTCACGGTAGACATGACCGATCGTAAAAGTCTTCTCTAGAAACGCTCCACCTCGACCAATGCTACGTGCGTATGGCAATGTCAGATCGTAAGGTAGCTGCACCAGGGTTCCAGAGGGGTCGAAAAGCTTGACGACTTTCGTGTCCGCATAATGGTCGGACCAGGGTAGTAGAACTTGACGTTGTATCTCTACAGCGCCATGGCTCCGAAAGACCATGGCCAATCTGTCCCTCACGAGATTCTGTAGAAGCACATCATTGGCTTTGATCTTCTGAGTGGTCGCGCTCAGATCCCAAGCATGGTCTTTTGCTTGGGTGTCGGGTTTTTGTGAGAAAAGAGCAGCCATCATCTTTGCGTAGTGTGGTGAGTTTCGATCCGAGAGGGCCTTGAGC